CCGCCACACGGTCCCGAGCCGCCTTCCTACAGTGGCAACGGTGGCGCCAACTGCGTAGACCATTCTGTGAAGCGCTCTCCCAGTCACTCGCCCCCCATCTCTTATCCCCTCGGCCGACCACCCAACTCCGCGAATAGCAGCTCCAGCAACCACAACTCTAATCGACCCTTGGGCATCAATCCGCACGAGAATAACGCTCTCCCGGATTCTTCCAACGGCAACGGCGCAGGTAGCTCTAGGGACAGTGGACGAACGGGGCAAGGGCAACCTTCAGCTCCACCAGGGTCTGGCGTCGGCGTCGGACCGGCTTTGGGACATGGTGGGAATGGAAGCCAAGTGTCGATGTCCCAGAGCCAGCCGCAGGGCGTTCTAGGGAAGTTCGCGGGCAGGGATCAGGCGAATGTGACGCAGCATCCGCGCTGGCCACATCTTGGCGCGGGAGGTGGTGATTCGGCCGGGGGAAGTGACGGGTCTGGTGGGCAGGTATTCAGCGGCAGCGGGGGTGAATGGGGGGATGAGTGGGCCTGGCGTCTCGGGCGATGTGACCGTGGGCGTGGGCGTGAACAGCGTGTCAATGGGACCTGGCGGAGGTGGAAATGCGGGCCTTTCGATGAATGGGTCTGGGAGTGGGAGCAACTCTGTAGGAGGTGGCGGGTCTTCGAACACAGCGGGACAAAGGAACCTCAGCCTGTTGGACGGGAGCCTCCAGCTGCCTTCGCTCAAGTCGAGTGGCCTGTTAGACTCGTGGTCTTTGAGGAATAACCAGGTGGCAAATGGAGCTGCACACCAGCAGGGACAGCAGCAGCAGCAGCAGAATACGACATCGCCGCGGAGAACGACGCCTCCTGGTGGTGGTGGTGGTAGTTTGGGCGTGCCGTCACTGGCTCAGCACCGTTCCCTGCACCATCATGGGCACTCTGGTTCGTCGGATCTGCGACCCTCGACGACGCTTGCTATGCCCGTAGGTCTGCAGTGGCTTGCGAACGAGTCTCAATAACCGTTCCGACCGTGCGCTCGATTTATTTACCTCCTTCCAGCCGTCCCTTCTTGTGTAAGAGTTGAACTCTATTTCCTTGCCCTGTTTGGATTTTCTCTTCGCTATCGTCGTCGGGCCGCCGCCCACTTTGCACCTTCCAACGCCGGTCTTTACTCAACGCATGTCAGCTCCGCGTCTCTTTCACGCACCTGCTAGCATACTCACCACTGCCACAATGCCAGATATCTACGCACACACATCATTTCCTCTTGCTCTTCGAAATTCCATCTTCCATCCTGTTGTCTTACTATTTGCGCCACATCATCCATTGCATTTCTACTTATTCACGCCATGCAATTGCCATTCTTGTCACACGTATTCTTGTAAAATCTCCCTCTGCTGCAGTTGTTGTTACCTACCTACGTACGGTATCGGTGTACCCTTCATCATCCATCTTGGCCATTTGTATTACAACTTATCACGACCCCCCGACTACACGAGGAAGTTTGGCAATTATATCCAGTCCGTGCATTGTCTGTATAAAGACAAGAGAAGGTTAGGCTGTGGGTTTCTTGAGATTTCGATGGAGCTCTGGCTGCACTAGAACCGCTCGTTCGAGAAGCGTCTTGACAACATGGTCCCTCTTCTTCTCGTAGACTACGTCGATCTCTCTCAGCTTGGCGTCCGTTTCCTTGTCGAGGGCCGCTTGTGTCGTAGACGTGTTTCCTGCGTGCTGCAAGTAGAGGAAATTCGAGAACAATTCGGGGAAGGAGGTGGTGTAGTTGACGTACTGAATCCTCAAACGCCTTGAACTCTTGCTCCTTGGCGCGTTTGTACTCTTCTATCTCTTTGCTCGCCTCTGCGCGAGCATCCTTAAGCTTTTGAACCCGATCTAGATAATAGACGAGATCAGGGGTGCGGTATGGAACCTTGAGGGGGGTGATTCACGGACATTGGCGGGCCTGCTGAACGATCTTTGCGGCTTCCTTCTCTGCCTCGAGAAGGGTCTGGATGCCTTGAGATTGCTGGGCCGCCTACAGGGAAATATGTCGGTGAATAAGCAGCGACAACGTGGGCGGATTATCGGTTGCTGGCCGGACGTACCATTCGATGGTGGATGTACGTGAGTGAGGAGATTCAGTCTCCGCCATGTTCGAGCGGTAAGATAGCGACGACCCGAAAGCGGAAGCAATCACCCCTGTTTCTGACCACTATGGTCCTCTCCGACTCTTCAATGTCCCGACGGCTTGCCTGCGCCCACTGGCAGTGCCATGCCTTCTCTGCCTTTTTTCCGCCGGTTAATGTTCTATGCTGCGGAGACACTTCTTGTTTCGCTTGCGATGTCAAACGGTTACGTGCCCTCAGGGACTTACAGATTTGTGTTAGTACGTCTCTGCGGCAAAGGCATCCTGAACGTGCTGGATGCTGACGTCGTTGAACACCCATTCAATTACGAGCTAACTGCGTGTAATTTCTGTCTTTTTCTCGCCCTTTGACTCAGACCCAATTGATTTACAGCATCCCTCAAGAGTCGGCCGGTGGCATATCACCGCCAACACTGCACATGGGGTCTCAACGAACATCGCCGCTCTAGCCTACTAGTGAACGGCTCATCGTCCGTATTCCGGTCCTGTCATTCTTTGGGTAAATCTCTAAACCACGAAGCTTCCTCTGAATGTCACGGTTTCTCGAACCACCCATCTGTTATGTGGGCCCGCCGAATCTCTGTCAACGGTTGTTCATTCTTGGAGATCCGATCCTTGTTGAGGGCTTCTCAACGGCGTTGCATGAAACTCCAGAAGCTCCAGGGCTCCATGATCCTGTCAGCTATTGTCAGGCGGCTCCTGTGTCGTGCCCACTGCCCACCTTTAACTTCGCTGCCTTTCAAGTGCGACGGTTCTCATCGGCAGGTACATACATTTACGGCGCATCATCGTGGGCTGAGAAATGACCGCGATATGATACGCCCAGCAGGCTTTGCATCTCTCGTTCCGGATTGACTTTTACCTCGTACTTGGTATGTGTCAACCAGGTTCGCAGTTATTCCTGACTCTTGACCTAGACCTCCGATTCGATTGCATTCTTGCGCCTCTACGCCCCCCCCCCTCACACTGTCACCAGTTTTCATAGCTGGGGAAAATGTTTTAGGCCACAAAATTCGTCTTCGTGTTCTCGGGCCCCCGTTCCTCATGTTCTTTGTGTGCATGAGGGTTCGTATTCTTTGGGGGTTTTAATTTCAACGTCTATCAACTCCACTGAGGAGCATGGGCACATCCTTCACACGTGAGCGGTACTACTACGCGAAGAAAAAAACTCGTCGATATCTTGTTCAGATCGACTGCTATTTTGACCTTTGGTCCCCGAAACTATTGTCACCAGGATGGGGTCTATACTTAGCTATCTTCTCTTCCAAGCTCTAAAAGCATATGTCGTTCCGACCGCACCACTTCCGATCTGGAGAGTCCACTGTTGTGTTTTTGCTCTTTGTTTTTCCTGGCTCCGCGAATTGTCGTGGGACGGAAAATGTAGCATCTTATATCCGCCGCTCCCGTGGAGGCAATTTATCTCGGTCATTCCGGTAGTTCGACATGACAACTTCATATTATATTATCCACCTGCCGTTCCTACCAACCGCACAGACGACAGAGTTGACCAGTACTTGTCATTGCCTCATTCCATAGAGAAAACAGGTTCTCATCTTCCACATACTACCGCATACAATCTGCAAATGGAGACGCAATATTCACTCAGGAGGGTTAGATACCAACGATGGATAAACTGCAACTGTCAGCGCCTGTTCGCCATTAACCTCATTCCAATAGGCCAACCCACCACTCATCCTTTCGCACCATTCTTGAAAACTCTCCTCATGCTGGAAAGGGGTGAACGTCGTTTCACGAGAATACTCCTTGAAGAGAAACACCCTCGGTTCCCCGGTGGCCAAGCTTCGCAGTTTCGTGATGGATGGAAAACGATGTTGGAATGATGTACCACATATCCCACGGGGAGGCGGCTCACCAGGGTGAATGAGGAATCTTTGCAGGGATGCCGGCAGCGTCCTGAACTCTGGTCTATGAAGATCAACGCCGTCGCATGGCCTCTGTAGTGCCTTCGTTAACTCGGAGCAAACTGTACTCGAGTAGGGGTTGGAGTGGTCAAAACGTAAATGTGTGAGGTTGGGGGCCGCTCGAGCGATAGCGGCCAGAGTTGGATCATTGTTCGATGTGCAGACATCGGACAACCGTAGGCGTCGTAAGCTCTTCAGCATGCCGGGCGGGCTAGGGCAGTCATAGGCGTAGTAGGGGCCCTGCAGTACTAGCTCTGACAGCCGAGGAAAGTAGATTGGGAAAAAGATAGACGGCCGATAGCCTTCTATGTTGATAGACAAAAGCTCAACTGAAGGAGACACCGCAATAAGGATGCGGAACAATGCATGAATGTCAACCTCCACGCTAATATCTTCAAAAATGGGTTTCTGTGAAGCCGGATGAGCATATATTAAAAAGGCAAGAAAGAAATGCTAACAAAACACTCATAGTATTGCTCGTGGACCGTTGTGTCAATTGAGTCGATACTTGTCCTCTTGAGAGCGTCTAAGAGTTCAGAGCGTCGTTCTTCCGACAGCTCGGAGGTGTCGTACATCGAAACATACAGATTCTCGACGACTTTTTCTTCTTGTGGAAGTGCTTCTATCATGTTCATGAAGCCAACCGCTTGAACTAGGCCGCGAATGGCGACAGACCGCAATTTGACACGCCGGGAAGCGGCATTGAAGTAACGGTTTGTTTGCGAGAGCGAGCGACCCGTAATTCCAGTATCAGTGCAAGCAAGCAAGAATATCCGTGTCCAAACTTCTGTGGGGAGTAGATCCATAGATGATGGTTGATGGGAGCCTTGACTCGAATGGCTCTTGGGAAGAGTACGTCACGGCAGTCACGCCTGTCATGCAGCACTCATTTGGCTTGTTCTTCGACGTTTGGGATCACATAGTCGGGAGTCCAGTTTGAGGTTTTCAGATGGCGAGCAATGCGCTAGACCCACTGCAAACACTTCAGGCCGCCCTTGCAGCACCACCGAACTCTCAGGAGCAGGCAGATGTCCTCGCGACTTTACGCGAATCTCTAGAAAAATATCCAGCACCAATAGTCGTCCTTGCACCATCACTAATTACCACCGTTGCAAATGCTGGAGATTCTCTACTCAAGAGATGGGTCCTGGACCTTTTTCATTTTGCGATATCTCGCTCGTCTCTCTCCTTGGATCAGCGAACACAGAGTTAGTCTTGACCCCATCCATTCAGAAGTGCCGTCATACGACTGTTATTCACCAACTTGTTTCCTTTAGTGTCACTGAAAGCGCTCGACACCCTTGCCCAGCTCATCGATGATCCCCAACCCGCAATTGTGAAAGTCGTCATACAATGCTTCGCCACCGTATATCCGTTGGTTTTCCGACATTTGTGAGCACACCCTTTCCTGTGGCTCGGCATCCCTCAATCCTATCAATAGGTGCACCAACCGGAGCAACCCTGCGGCATGGAACACGATATCAAGCTCCAAAACGCGCCTCCTTGAACTTGTGTGGGCTCCAAACGTCAATGCCGGTGTGCGGATTTCTGCCCTGAAGTTTGCTCAGCGTGTCATTCTCGTCCAAATGCGAGGTTTGTCGGACCCGAGGGTGAGCGCTCTGTGACCCATAAGCTGCGATATATTGAACTAAAGCTCTTCTCTTCAGCTTCAAAACCAGAGCGATCCAAGTATACCCGCTTGCCCGGTGGATCACCCATTTATTTCTGTGTCAAAGCTAGAGACTGAGGGTCAGAAGCTCTTGGAAGGATTGGCTGCCTTATTATACAACAGCAAGTAAGTGACGATGGCTACATCGCAGTCCAGTTCTGACATTGTCGCAGTGATGTGGACCTCCTTTCTGCGCTGTTGAACTCATGGGCGAACTTGGTCAAACAACGGCCTATAGCACTTCCGTTTGTCATAAATGCACTACGATCGTGGACGCCTGCTGCACTTGTTGGGAAATCGGCCTCAAATGTTAAGAGTGTTGAGAAGGCAATGCGGATTCTGCTGATTCACATCTCTCGGTGCGTGCAATGAGACCTTTCAAGAATCCGTAGAAAGTTCTGAAACCCGGGATATACACAGGCTTCCAAGTTCGAGTCAACATGCGGCACATATAACTGAAACTCTAAATCAGCAAGGCATGCGTATGGACAAGGCGGCCGCTGAAGAAAAGAGGCGCAAAGCTGCCCTGGCAGAAGGTCGAAAACGTCCATCTTCAAATTCCAATGAGCCCGAAGACAACAAACGTATCAAGCTGGACAATGAAGTTACTCAGCCCCAGTCCAGTAATTCGGCTGCTCTTCTCTCTGCATTCGATTTCACATCACTTCCTGCGCCACTCATCACCAACCTCATCGTTGCGAATATTCAGGCTTTCACTGAAGAGCAGCTTATATCTTTCGTGAACGCATACCGCGAAAGTTGTGGATTGTCTATACCAACATCCCAGTCACAAGTCAAGCAAGACAGTACAGTCACAGTCACTGCATCAGGTGCGACCACCCAGGTTCTCCCTCCTATACCCACAGGACCCCGGGCACATTTCCGGGCGGATAAGAGCTCGACACCACAACCTCAAGAATCTGCCACCGTAGCAATCAAGGATGAGCCGGTTGATCCTCTTCAAATGGATATTGATGAAGACGAGTTAGAGTACGAACCTGAGAGGTTGAATGAAAAGGTATGGTGCCGAGTTCAAATTACAGCTTCCATTCATGACACTCCATGTTCATAGCTTTCTGGGGCTCCTGAGCCTGAAGACGAAGCCATGGTAGATGGGGCTAGTCATGAGGACAACCTTGAACTTGTCGACTTCCGGCTTCCGCCACCGAAAGAACTAGTAGGCGAGGAGGAGCGGCGCATTGTCATCCACGATTCCCTGAAGCGGGTATGGGACGGAGCAGAAGATCTGAAATCGCTTGGGGAAGGGTTCTCCTCTGACTCAGTGCAAGCTGGTGGAAATTCTGCTTCAGAGATGTGGATGCTTTTAATCGTGCGGATGCTGACGAGGGTTGCTGAGCCTCCTTCCGATCTAAACAACAATGAGCCAGAAGGGGAGAAGAAGAACCTTGTTGAATACGATTTTTATGCTCGGCACGACCGACTTCGACAGACTCTGTGTGAATATATCATGGCTGATTTTCCTGCTCGGTATGTCTTGGAAACATTACTGTTTAGACCCCTCTTGATCAGACTGGTAGCGTACGCCTTGCCACTACGTGGATGAATGAGGAGTGGTATAATGATCAAATACGTCAGACTCAAGATCGGAATTGGGTGAGTTCATTCACAATCAGACCTAGTATATTTATTCTAACATCTCAACAGCGACCTAACTATGAGACATGGTTAAACCAAATCGTGGCGTCCTATCAGACCATTTTGGATGGGAAAGACAAGACTTTTGCCCGTTTTCTTCTCGACTTACCTTCGATACCGACGGATGTGTTGGACCTGTTAAGAGATCTGTGTACTGATAACTCCAGGTAAGAACACAATCCTGGATTACCGGCCCTTACTTGATCTCGTGCCTAGCTCGGACCGTATGCAAGTCGGCTTCACAACACTTCGTGGAATCGTGATCCAAAGGCCGTCCTTGAGGATGGAAGCTATTAGTGTACTGCTGGAACTGACGACACATTCAGGTCAGTCATATTCTTTAATTCTGCCAGCTTCGTCTTTGAGCCGTTTTTGATAGAAAAACGCATACGAGGAGCTGCCATCAACACTGTCAGACATTGGGTGCCACATACACCTCCTATGGATGGCATGGTTCGAGACTTTGCGCTGCAGATGCTACGTAAACTCCAACTGCGTTCTTCCGAACATCGTCCTCATCCAGATGGTGACGTCAAGATGAATGGAGATACAGAGGATGAGCAACAAAATGGAGTTGAGGAGGACGGAGCAAAACCGCCTCACCATGACCGAGAGGGTCAAGACATGGAAGATGGTCAACTACCAGCTGAAGACTTGGTACATACGCCATATCTGCCAGAACGTATTGAGCTACCTGCAGAGGAGGAACAGGTACTACAACATGTTGAATTGCTTTTCGCCCTTTCCGTGAAGGTTCCAGAATTTTTGGATGAGTGAGTATGCTATGTTTTGGGCTTCGTTGCTTTCTTAACCCACATCACAGGATCTTCTCCGCCTATGGACGCATGGATCAGACTGTTCAAGAAGCCGTCCAAACTCTAATAACGCCCTTGATCCGTTCATTGGGCTCCAGTCACGGAAAACTGTTGACTTTGATGCGCCAGTGCCCGCCAGGTGCAGAATCTCTGGCTCTACGTGTCTTGACCATTTTTACGGAAAAGGGCCGACCAAGTGCCCAACTGGTTGCACTTGTCAAAGCTCTTATCAATGAGCGAGACCTTGATGCAAGGTTCCTTATACCTATCATCGCTGAGATGGACAAGGTATGTTGTCATCCTGCTTCTCAGTGCTTTTTGTGTCCTCATCAGTTTTCGTCGTTTTAGGCGGATATCACGCGATACCTTCCACGCATCGTGTCAAGCCTCAATGGTCAACCCGAGCCCAAGAATCTAGTTCGATCCGTGTTCAGCTCAATTGTGACTACGCCACCCCAGACATTTGGGTCTGTTTCGTCGAATCTTCCACGAGTCAGACAAAGCGAATTACTTTCTCCGGCTGAACTTATGGTTCTATTGCACGACTCAGAGAAGCAAATTGGGCTGAAAAGTGCAATTGAAGGTCAGGACTTATCTTCATTCCCCGTATTCATGGTTGTTTATATATTATCCTAGCGATTGGGATTTGCTTCTCGATGACAGACGTCTTCCGCTCTGAAATTCTCGCTGTTGTCATGCAACAGATCATGGATGAACCTGTGCTTCCTGTTCTTTTCCTGCGAACGGTGGGCCACGCGTTGTATTTTTAGGAGGAAGAGCACTTACAGTTTGCTTCCAGGTGATCCAAGCAGTCACGACCTACAAATCACTTGTGGCTTTCGTCTCTACAACGCTTCTTTCTCGCTTGATTACAAAAAAGATATGGACAAACCCTCCACTCTGGGAAGGGTTTATCCGTTTAGCAAAAGTCATCGCACCTGCTAGCTTTGGGGCACTGCTGCAGCTTCCCCGAGACCAACTCCGGGAGTTGGTGAACAAACAACCAAGTCTCAAGTCCGGCCTGCGGGACCACGTAACGAAAAAGGCTCCAAACAAGGCGCGAGGAGCAGGGTTTTTGGATATTTTCGGGGAACCTGAGGATGAGGCCGCCGCCGCAAGCATTGCACCTCCACCTGCAGAAATTGCGGCAACCTCTGCCTCATGAAGCGCCCTTTGAGGTTCTATTTATGTTCACGATTACGCACCATATCATCTATAATGAACTTGTAGTAGTAGATCGAAATCTGTAATTTTGGAATCCGAGGCCGAGTCGAGGCGCGGATTCAAAACAATGCTGCTTATCGGAGATTGACAGCCAATCGGTCGGAATCCTGACACAATCTCTTCTGTGAAAGCATGACTAGTATGACTCCCACAACTGCACCATTCCTCATCTACAGCGAGCCTGATAAGCTTGGTGTGCACAGCACTTCTTCAATCGTCTCGTCTTCCATTCAGCTTCACGCAGGCAGGACGACCAACTCCTCTGCATGTCACAGCCGGCAAACTCTTCCAGAAGATCCCCTCGCGGATCGCGTCGACGAAGAACCGAGGACGAAACATCTCACTCGAAAGACGAGAATGATTCATCTTCGTCCGCAGCCGCGTCTCCTGGCTCTTGGAATGTCGATCGAGGGAGATCAAGGGTCAGACGACCGTCAAATCCCTTCTCTGAGGAGAGTTTGAGGAGGAGGTGCGTTCGTGATAAGTTTGAAAGGGCGCCCTCGTGCTCACCGCCCACAGAGGCTACCACACAGTTGTCACCCCTTCCCTTCATAAAGTATTTCATTTGGAACGACGGTGGAAGCTGGTACGAGAGTTGGGTTCCGGCGCTTATGGAGTAGTTATGTGCGTTAAATGCACCCCTCGATACACGACCTCGCTTAAAGACTGTGATACAGTTCTGCCGCCGATGAAATATCCAGTGAAACAGTCGCTATAAAACTCGTCACTCGCGTTTTCGAGAAGATCCAATTCGCTAAAAGGGCGCTTCGGGAGATCGCCCTACTGCGGCACTTCTCGCACCATGGCAATATCACTGGTCTTATAGACGTCGATGCGATATCCCCAGATTTTTCCGAAATGTGTGTTCTTCGAGCTTCTTCTATACCATCTCTAAAATTTCTTACAGCTATATTTTCATGGAGGTAGGAAACCTTTGCATCTCTGTGAAGTATTTAACGAGCTTTGCCTCTAGCCCATGGAAGGTGATTTGATCTTTAAAGTTGGTACCCGACATGGCTAACCTCTAATCCAGCCGACCTTCACCAAATAATTAGATCTGGGCAAACCCTCACTAACGAGCATGTGCAATATTTCACGTACCAGATCCTTCGAGGTATGATTACCTCTCGTTTTCGAAGCAAGCTACATTCATTTGAAATCGGCAGGCATGAAGTACATTCACTCGGCGGGGGTCATCCACAGAGATCTAAAACCCGGGAATCTCTTGGTCAATGCTGACTGTGAACTCAAAATTTGTGACTTTGGCCTCGCGAGAGGCTATGATGCGACCCCAGACGAGCATGCCACCCATCTAACGGAGTATGTCGCAACGAGGTGGTATCGCGCACCGGAAATTATGTTGGCGTATAGGTATGGTACCTTTATTTTCCGTCCCAAGACACTTCTATTAATGCCATGCCTAGGAAGTATAACACCGCCAGTTAGTGGAGGATTCCTAAGATCAAATTTCGCGGGTACTCACATCCTATAGTCGATGTCTGGTCAATAGGTTGCATCCTTGCAGAACTTTTGATTGGCGCACCATTATTCAAAGGGAAGGAGTAAGTCGCGCGGGTGTCATCGTGTCACAACTTTCTAACCGGATACACAGTTATGGTCAGCAAATATATGTTCCCTTCTTGAGCTCTCAACTGACTGCATCGCGATTTCTTTTTAATGCTAGTGGACCAGTTGAACAAAATATTCGCTGTGCTTGGTGCGTTTCCCTTTCTTTTTCTTTTCTCTTTCTTTGCATAGTTGGCTATATTTACTGGTGCCATTCTTGTAGGGACACCTGATGCCAACGTCATCCGCAAGATTGGCAGCCCCAAGGTAATTTGATTGAACTTGATACATAGTTCCAAGGTTCTATTGAAGCGTTGCAAAAGGCACAGGCATACGTCCGATCTCTACCAATCAAGAAGGTTGTTCCTTTCAAGAAGATCATGCCAAAGGCTGACTCCCAAGGTGAGGAACCTCGTTCTTTCTGTCTTCCTCCTAGCTAATGTTCCAACCAAGCTCTCGATCTTCTCGGGAAAATGCTCTTTTTTGATCCAAGTGACCGTGTGACCGTCCCAGGAGCACTTGAACATGACTGGCTATCAGCTTATCATGACCCAGAAGACGAGCCGGATTGCCCCGCGAAATTCGACAAGTGGCGCGAGATTGAGACGCTGGAAACTATGGAGGAGTTTCGTGAAGCCCTTTGGACCGAAATCGAGGACTACCGGAGAGAAGTTCGAGGGCTGGATATTGAACTCTCTGCTCTTGGGTCTATCTCCTCGTCGCCTCCACCATTACCGGCCCCCTCGCATATGGATGCGTCAGCTTCACCAGCTGTTAAATTTGAAGAGAACATGTTCCAAGCAAGCCCAAGTGAATCACAGGTCACAAGCCCTGCTCAAGAATCAATTTCTACTGCACCAGAGAGCGAGGCTGTCACTGAAAGGTTGAAAGAGGCTGAGGACATCCTGCCAGACAGGTTGCCTTCGATCAGCCCAGAAAGCCATCGTCGCTCTATTACGACGCCTACCGACCCCGTAATGACATATGCACGACGTTCAAGCATCTTGCAACCTTCTCGTCAAGGTTCGACATACAACTCTCCATTACCATCCTCTCATGTTCCAGGATTCGTGCTCGAAGGTTCAAGCGATAAGCTGGGGCCCGGAACAGTGCCTTTTCCGACCCAAGGATATGTGGTTCCAGCACGGTCTCGGACGGGATCAACCACAGGTGGCGAAGTTACGCGCAAGCTGCTCCGAACACTATCGACGGTCTCGATTCATGAAAGCATGGACGGTTGGCCCGGTGGTCTAGCAGGCAAAGCGCCGATTGGAAGGTATATTACGGAAGTGAATACTGAAGCAGATGCACCTCCTTCAGAGGTCACGAAGGATTTCGGCATCGAGTCGGAATTAGATCTAGAGGAAGGGTCAGCAAAAAAACCTGCTGGGCGGTTTCAGCTTGGATAGATACTGACAAGTTATACCTTTCCATAAGTACATGGCGTGGAATTATCCTGTTATAAGATTAAGTACAATGAACTGCGTGTGATCGATACAGTGCCTATGGCCAAATGGTGAGCGGTGGAAGTTGAAATATAAATTAGTCGTCTCCTAGGATGTCTTTTATCCCTGCGAGCAAGCCGTATGAGAACCATCTCCGTGGAAAAAATAGAAACAACGTACTATCTATAATATCCAAATAAGCTGTCGTCGCCGGACTGTCAGGATATTCATCGAGGAAGCTAACACCATAATCAGCACTTTTTCCTATCCGAGGGTCCAACGGGACGGCTCCGAGTAGCTCGATTCCTGTCTTTTCTGCAAGCCGTTTAGCACCCCCGGTGCTCGGCTTGAATATTTGTGATTCAGTTTTGCAGTTGGGGCAGACGAAACCTGACATGTTTTCCACTAAGCCGATGATTTGAATTCCAACTTTTCTGCAGAAGTCGATCTCCCGTCGCACGTCTTGGAGGGCAACTTCTTGAGGGGTTGTGATAAGAACCGCGCCATCTATTCCGCTTTCTTTTAGATATTGAACGATACTGAGGTGTTCGTCAGACGTTCCGGGCGGTGTGTCGATAAGAAGATAGTCCAACTCGCCCCAGTCGACATCCTTGAGGAACTGGGAGATTAATCCGTTCTTCTTAGGCCCTCTCCACATGATTGCGTCTCGGGACGTTGGAAGCATAAACCCGACGGACATGACAGCCATATTGTCTTGAACGTACACAGGTGACCAGCCCGACGAGGATGAGTGTACTTGCTCTGAGGCGATGCCTAATATCGTCGGTATTGAAGGCCCACAAATGTCGACATCCATGATGCCGGTCTGTAAAGCGGGATGAGGCCAGGAACATGGGAGATAACGAGGCATTTACCTGTGTATCCTCGTCGGCTGCGAAAGCCCAGCCTAGCTGAGCAGTAAAAGTGGACTTTCCAACGCCTCCTTTGCCAGAAAGAACGAGGATCTTCCGTTTCACGGAGGACATACGCTGTTTAATGAATGGGAGTGCTGGGTCTGGCAGTTTTGTCGCCCCAGATGCACATATTTCTTGGTTGTCGCAACCTGCACATGCGTCCGATTTTCCTGCAAGCTCGGATTCTGTGCCCTATCTGGCGCGGTAAGCACTTTCCAGAATTTGTATTGCAAAAAAGAACTTACTGGACAATGTTCTGGGGCATTTGAAGGAATCGACTTTGGGTCTGGTATTGGCGCTGGTTGCTGCGTGGCTATCATGGTCGACGTCTGAGGTGAAGCTTGAAACGTAGGTGAGCTTAGATTAGCAATCATTGACAAATGACGTAACATAAGCTAGAATCGGTCCCTTGTATTCGCGTTCTCTTGCTTCATCGTATGATACATTGGGTCAGCCTGTGCAGTGTATTTAGCTGTAGCTGGGCATTTCCATGCCAGGGTATATCCTAAGTACCGCGAAATATCTTCGTCCATGGCATGCTATATATACTGGAGAAAGAGAGGGGCACATGGAAAGTGATGATAAAATACAATTCAGTGGAATCAAAAGGCTTTGGAAGGAACCTAAAGGAGCGTCAGGGAAGATGACAGAGCGTCATGGAAGGTATCTTTAAGCACCGCGGAAAGGCGACAGGGAATACTGTAAAATAGGATATCGAACAACGAGGGCGGCACATCACAACACATGCTATGTCTCATTGCCGCTGCCGGCCCCCCCCTGAAGACGGATAGCCGTTCATGACAGGGTTGAAAGCCTGGGTCTGCGCCAAAGGATTTTGGGCACCCGTCGGCGCTGACGAAGAACCAAGATGACTGGCACCAACATAGGACGATGGCCGTGACGAGGGGCCGTTGGAGGTGTTCGGCCGAGGAGGTGTCGGGGCCCAATCTTCAGAATATTGTTGTTGATTCCGCTGTGCGTTTTGCATGACGGCTTGGTTCTGCTGCATCCCTTGCTGCATCGGCGATGAGACAGTAGGTGGGTAGGGTTCGCTATTTTGCGGCGTTCTCATGTTCGGATTGCTCTGGCTAGAATTCGATGGTCCACCGAATGGCGATCCGGGTGGCGGCCGCTCCATAGCAGGGGAATTCATAGCTGGGTATCGTGGTTGCTGTTGCTGCTGCGGGAAGCCATTCGTCTGGTTCATGTACGGCGTTGAAGGGGCCGGTCGACCATTGGTGCCTTTCAGGCGCATATACGTGTCGCACTTCTTCATGAACTCTTTGCTCGGCAGATCTAGCGAGTTTGCAAAGTATTCTTGGTCGTGGAGGATCGACAAGAACTCCGCAGGCACCGTGAAGTACTCATCTTGGTCTTCTAGCAGAGAAGTGATGACGCGGACCCCGCTGAACGTTTCGTCCCTGGCTGCATCCCGCCCTCGAGCGTATATGATGCTAGGCGCGATGACCGTCGCAAGATTGCCAAGATCCATCTTACTACCCGTCTCGGCATCCATATGCGCGAAAGAGGCAACCCACTTCAAGAAGACGAAGAGAACCTCCATCGTGTCTCGATGGCTCTTTGGCAAAAGCAAGGAGATAAGGTGCAAATATCGTCTCCGATCTTCCTCAGATGGAAGTGCTAAAAACGAATACCGGAAAGTCAGGATGTGCATGAATCAGGAAAATGACCGAGAGCTTACATTGTGATGCACAGAACAAACGATGGAGCTTAAAGGTCATCAGCGGATCTGGCATCTCGCGAAGGAACTTTTTGAGCAGCGCAGCCAGCTGCACCGGGTTATCGAGCGACAGGTCGACAGTCGACGGATCCCGGTCGATGGCGTCGGTCAAGTCCCTTAGCCGCCGGATATTGCCATTCTTACGGAAGATTCCCTCAACAGACATGTCTAGCATACAAATGAACGTCAGAATTGCGGGGGGATCACCGTAGCACGAGCTTAAATTCGCCGCTCGCAGCCCATAGAGAAATGAAAACTCACCCATTTGACGCATTGCCGAGATGACATCGTCAATGAAGCTTGGTACCCTCAGTGTAGCCCGCGTTGCTCCAAGCAGCGAATCTGAACCCTCTCTCTCCACTAGGAGCTCAAGAGGTACCCCAAAGACGCCTGACGTTAGGAGTGCATTAGTCTTGCATAGCCAGAGAGAAGTATAAATTCGACGCACCTTTCTTCTTCACGTTCTTCTTATCACCCTTAAACAACTTGTTCCAAAACCCGCTCTTCTTGATCTCAACCATCTCCAGAATCTCGTCGAGGTCGAAATTGTCTTTCAAGGGCGACCGTGTCAGGGCGAGCACCGCACAGTGCTTGACGATCGCCAGCTCGAGAGGGCTCAGTTGTGCAATGTACGGCGTGGCGTTCTCCCGGGGCAAGGACCGCTGCTGCTCGCGGGCCTGTGCGACCTCGACCCACTGCGGGATGTCAGCGAGCGTCAGGGCGTCATCCCGCTTGGGTATTGACGACGCCGCCTCCTCCGCACCACCCGCCGGCGAATTCGGCGCACTGTCGTCGACGATCATCACCTCCGTGTTCGCGTTTGTGTTACTCCGCGCCAACGACGGCCTTAGCGCCTGCCCCTGCGGTTCAGGAGGAGGCAGCAAGCGCCCAGCATTCGCCCGGGGGGTGCTGTGCTGGCTCGGAGGGGTGTTCGAGCTCTGCTGATATTGCGGCTGCGGCGATTGGTTGGCGTACCCGCCCGTGTAAGGCATCTGCCCTTGCTGCCCCTGCTGCCCCTGCTGGACATGCGTGTTCTGGTGATACGACGGATGTGCCCCCGGCTCGTACTGTCTCGGTAGATCGGAGGGATGCACGCTCCTTCCCGCTGGGCTCTCGACGATGGTCGAGCGTTTGGGTAACCGGGCGGTAGCGGACAGCTTGCGGTCGAGGTGCACGGACTTCATCCTCATAATGTCGGCGGAGCTCCGGTACGGGTCGGATCCTGTTGGGGTTGACGGGTCGCTCGAAACTACGAAGTAGATGTCAACTGGGCTGAGAAGGAAGGAATGGGAAGTGAATAATACCTGGTGACATGGGCACCACACCCTGCTTCTTCAGAAGGAGGTAGAGCCGCCGCAGAGCAACATTCAGGAGGAACGCGTATTGTTCTAGTCGCTGGACAGCTTGGAAGCCCCCTCGGCACCCGGGATGCGCATGCTCAGTGCAGAAGATGAGTTGGGGGACCTCACCAAACGACGACGTGTCCTTCCTCGACTCCGGATCATACACGAAAAGGTCGACCTTCGCTGGCGGCCGTCGAGCAGTGGATAGCTTCGGCGGCTGGTCACCACGATTCGTGCCCCCTTCCTTGCTCGTGTCCTTCTCGTCGCCGCTCTTCGACGACTGCTCCTTCAAGACCGGTACCGCCGCGACCTTGCCGCAGTGTGCACACTGTACGCAGTGCGAGTGCCACCGCTGGTAAGTGCCCAGCCGCACGCAGTCCTCCTCCACCGTCAAGTTACACCGCACACACAGATCCGAGGGCGGGTTGGACGAAACCTTCGATACCACGCCCTGGCTCTGCGCAAAGGGCGACTCGCCCGCGTTCTCTGGCGCGAGGCTCCGGAACCCGTACGTGACGCCCTGCGTGCCAAAGTTCGCGCTGGGGTTGACGGTGAGCGCCTCGCCGTTGGAGCCCTTGATCATGCGCTTCGCTGCGGGGTTGCCGCCTTGTACCGCGAGCAGATGGAGCTTGTCGAGGAAGGAAGTCATGGCGTCCCGCACGCTCTGCTCGCGTTCCAATTTAAGAGCGCCGGTCAGGGCGATCCGGATGAGGATTTTGAGGTAGTGTGCCAAGCCCGTCACGAGGGCCAGCAGCTCTTGCGTCATGCCCATCCTGCGCGCGCCCGTCTCCTGCGTATGGGAAAGTAGAGTGAACAGTTCCACCGTCTTCCGACACAGCATTCGGGCTTCGCGTACGTGCGACATCCCTGCGACGATATGGATCAACACTACAGGAAATTAATGGAGGAGTCATGTTTACGAGTACGAACCCTTCATATTTAGAGAGGCGAAATGGAACTCCAAGTCGTCTATTGTGCCGAACAGGACCTCGACGTGGAGAATGAACTTTTCAGCCATTCGAATCGCGTCCAGATACGCCCCATTGCTGACTTGTCTCAACATGTCCGATATACAGGCTGCACTCGACTCTTCAAAGGCAGAAAGAACACTGAGAAGCCCAGTCAGAGGGTGGCTGGTAAAGAGGTGTATGTGCACGCACGTCCAAATCCGATACACCTGCTGTTCCATCCGAACCTGCTTCTCCTTCAAGGATCCAGGTGTCTCTCTATGTTCCTCCTCCACATATGCCGGCTCCTCCGTGTTCCCTTCTATTGATGTCGGTCGCCGCGTTGACACCTTGACGTTCCAAAACTAGAAGCCAAAATTGCTAAACATACTTGCGTAGAAGACGCCCTACTCACCTTGTTGATCATATAACACTCTGGATGCCAACATTCATCCCGCATGTTCCGATTAATCTCGACAAACTGCTTCAGTATCGCACTGTTGCACCCTGCGCACTTGGTCGCGAATCGAGTCGAGTAGTGGAAATGGCAGTAGACATCGCCGTCGTGTTCGTAGTATGAGTCTTGAGGGCCAAACAGCGTCGAACATAGCGAACATGTGAAATGCTCGACGTGGAACTTCTTGTCTAACAGGAATCGTTGGAGGCGGAAAAAAGCAAGGCAAGAAAGGGACGCACTGCACGCTGTGATGTAACTGCCTCGCAACGCCATCCCGCACTTGGCACATATCAGGTTCAGCCGACGGAAATAGTCGCGCTCACAGAGAGGGCTCTGCCTCCCGTTCGGTCCATCGATAGGAAAGAACTTGGAAGCGACGACTTCTCCACAGTCCTTGATAACAAGTGAGGGGGAGAATGGCAGATGAACGAGACATGAACACACCATGCATTTGAAGCAGTTGAGGTGAAATACAGCACCCAGGGCTCGCACAAAGGGGCCCTGCATCGGTTTCCCGCAAGCTGAACATGAGCTGTGCAAGGGTCAGATCAGGATAATCAGAAGAGAAGGCACTTACGTGGAGGATAGGCTTGTGGATGTCGGGGGCTTCGGATTCGAAGAGGACTGGTCAGAATGGGAGGTAGCACTTGTGTGATGGTGGGATTGATCTGAATGGCCTGAAGACGAGGGCTCCTTGGACTGCGCAGAGGAGAGGAAGGGGGGTGATGGCCTCGGAGAAGAGGGATAGCTTGAGGCAGATGGCTGGTGATTGAGGTCATCGCTGCGGGTCTGCGGGATGGCGCTGGCGCTGCTGTTGGCGGGGAGATTGCGATCGGGGTCGGAGGAGCCGACGGTGGACGCTCTTGTTGGGAGATCTGGGCGGTCTGGGAGGCGCGAGGCAGAGGTGGGGGGCGCGGAGTACGGGTTGCGTTGGTGGGAGATGTCGGTGGAGACAGCGAGGGGGCCGGGTTGGCTGTGCGGGAGCCACGAATCGGTGGTCCGTGCGTTGTCGCGGTCTCTGCTCATCGCTGGCACGGCGATCGGCCAGCTGCAGTGGTCGGCGTCGAAGAGGAAATGCAGAGGTGCTCAAAATTCAGTCCAATGGTAAGGACTCAACGCTAAGCGTGACGCAAGTCACAAGTCACACCCATAACCCTCCTCTCGCCGCCTGCTCCTGCTCTGCCTCCAAGTACACACATCGTCGCCTCTGTACCCGCGAGTCTCCTCTGGAGCTCCGAGCGAGGCTGTCCTGCTTTGACGTCAGTTCTTCCTTGCCCTGTGGGTGGCGAGTAGGGCCTCTGGTCGTCTGACGCTGGGCACCACGAACCAGGTCCGTCTTCGTGGGTTCTAATCAGGCTCTAGTTGCCCTCCATCTCCTGTAACAGATGCGAGCTGTCTACCTCGGAAGGGCATCATATAGGGACGAACAGTTTTCGTCACTTGAGGATGATGCAAAAACCATTTTGTAGAGGTCCAGTTCGAGCACAGCCACCTGCGGACCCAGCCGGCCCGGGACCTGCGCGTCTGTGCGGCATGCGAAAATAAAAATGTTGACTCTCGCCGACGCCGAGTGCACACATCGCCGTCACTTTCAACTGCACCCCGCCGAACAGCATACGCATTCCCCGAAATGCGGATAAATACCCCCTCCCACGTCCTCCTCCCTTTTCCCAAACCACCGACACCACCGTGACCGACGCCCAAGCCCATCTACGCAATACCTGCTTACGATCCGGCTAACCTCCCTCGACCAGCCGTTGCCGACTAGCAGGGCCCATACATATCCAGTTTATACGATATACTGCCGCCTCTGCGCTGGACTGAATGATGTATCCTCACCCCTACCCCTACTACCATCACATGGGGCTCTTCGCCGTCCGCGGCCCCAGTCGTCTCCTATGGTTCGTAATAGGCGCAATGACAGCAACTTGGTGGATCAAGCGCAAGCAGTGCGAGTCCCGCGTCTTCGGACACTGCCTGCGCCCCGCCATCCAGCCTACTGACTCGAAACACCGCGACGGATGGACGCAGAACGCCGTCGACGTGTCCCGTGCGATCAACAATATACCCATCGCCCCGACGCCCATGGGCGACTTTAACGGCACTGGTACTGGTACGCCAGCGTCCGCCGGCACACCGCAGGTCTCATGGGACCGTGACCACGCACGCCATTCGTGGCAATGGGACCAGTGGCAAGGACAGGCCGAGAGAGAGCAGTTCTCCAGGATGTCGAGGCAAGCGGCTGATGCTGTACGTTCTGCCTGCTTTTGCGGTTGCTCCCAGACTTACGTACCCCACCTTTCGTTCTGTGCAGATGGTAGATCTAACCGAGACCACACTCGAGTCCGTGCTAACCACGGCAGAGGCGTTGAAAGCGGTGCGTACTAATCCCGCATTCGCGATTCGTCAGTTCCAACAGCTTTGATCTGATATGCCGAATATGTGTACAGAAACTGGCGGAACACCGCGCTCGACGCGAGCAAGAGCAGAAGATCATCGAACAGCAGCTCGAAGAAGAACGGCGCAAATCCCCTCCTCGCCTGGTTTAAAGGGCCCCCCTCTCCCTACTGAAGTACTTACCTGTATAAAATAATCTATAGTACCTATGATCGCTCACATCATTCCTCTGCACCCCTCTTCGAGGTTCCTCATTCCGCATCCGCATCTTCCCTTTTGTAATATCAGCACACTACTACTCATAACAGTACTTCACACCATCCAAAAATTTCGTTAAATGTCATTAAACATGATTTGCATCCCGAATGATATAACGGCGTAGGCCTGAGGTTCAGGACGATGGTTTGACACTTTCAGTCTTTTGTGGTGTTCTGGGGCCCGAGGCCGACTCTTGGGAGGGCGTCAACGACAGCTTGCTCCTCGTCCGTCGGGGCGACCGCTGGGCCGTCCCCTCGCTTCTCGACGTAGGCGGGCGCTTGCGGGTCCAGGATTCCTTGCTCCTCGGCTGTGCGAGTGGTATATGTTTCGTTAGCGTATGTATAGTTACCCAGGGGAAGAGGTCGATGCAAGCAGGGGAAGAGGAGACGAGAGGAAAGGAAAGGACTTACGCGTCGAGTGCCAGAAATAGGTGATCAGCCCGCCGATGATGAACACGAAGGAGACGAAGTAGAGCCAGTACGGGCTGTAGTGCTAATTGCGCAGGCATACATATCAGCTGGGGGCGTATCATAGATTAGAGGAGCAAGATAATTTGAACGTACGTAGAGGAACAATCCTAGAGGACGGGTCGCGGTTACATTTACGCAAGGAGAGAAAAAGAGAGAAATTACACACCGAAGAGCAGCCCGTAAAAGTCGCTTGACAGCAGGCTGAGATTAAAGTAGGCAGACGAAGCGAGGCGGTAGAGCATTGGCGCCAGGGTATACAAGAATAGCATCGCTACAGGTCTATTGTCAGACAGAGCACCCCATCGTGTTGAAGGAAGGCAGGAGACGTACCGCATGTGAAAGCCATCAAGAGCCCGACTTTCAAAGACGAAGAAAGGTTATAGGGATCGCTTATCTGCGACGAGGCGAGGAGAAATACTCACTGATATCCCCGCTCCACGGAGCCTCTTTCATCGCCCTCCACTCCAGTGCAGATGACTGCACACCATTGATCAGGAAGCCCCACATGCCCAACTGCCCGACGACCTCGTACAGAGGTCTCTTCCTGACCAGAAATTCTTCCGTCGCGTTCGCTACACGTCATGATTTATCGCAAAGTGGCTCTTATAAGTTTGGCAGGATATAGGAAAGGAAAGGAAACGCACTGAAGCCGTACAGCGTAGCACCAGCGATCATGAACGCATCGCCCTTGCCTCTGTTGACGGCGTCCCATCCTTTGTTGGTAAGCTGGTCTGAGCCAACGAGTAACCCAAGGCCCCCGATGCAGATGAAGATGCCCTAAGGAGTGGAGTATATTGAGCCATCTAGAGGCCGTCAAAGTAGAGGAGAAGTCGTACGAGGAGTTGGGTCCAGTGGTATTTGGTACGCATGTACAGCCAGGAGAAGAACAGGCACACGGGGATCGCCCACCTATCAGTTAGAGCTTTCAATGAGACCGCTTTCTTTTGGAGAAGAACACTCACGCGTCGAGGAGCATGCATGATAGAAGGTCGGTGTATTGATAGGCCTGGGTAGGATTAATGGGTTTGCAGATGTCAGAAGTTGGTGATGATAGAGGAGATTGGCGAGTGAAGGAAGGTAGATGACGCACTTTGATCACCATGAAGTTGGCTTCTACATCACAGGCAGCGAGGATGAAGTCTGCAGCGCAAAGAGATGATAGGTTCATCGTGGAGGGCAATTTTCGTATGATGATTGAGACGAACATTTCCACCCGTCTCTGAGGATCACTTTCCCCCATCCTTTGAATCCGTCTGTCGGAGGAATTCCTTAGGTCGATTGGTGGTAGAATAAACAGACAGCCGACGCACATTGGTATATCGTGTAGGGCGTGTATACAACAAACAGCGAGAAGTACCTGCCGATCGGTCAGTTCGCAACTGATCATCTCCACACAAATCGAACGAAGAACGCACAAGAAAAACCCCTGGGTAGTCGATAGCGTCCATCCCCGGTTCACGAGCTCCGTGGTCGTGACGTTCGTGCACGTAATGCAGAGCGACAGTGCCTGCCCCGCGAGCAGAGAGAGGACGAACTGGCGCGTCCATAAGCTCCTCCACCGCTGTCCGATGCTCCTTGCGAACGCTGTCGGCGAGGAGTAGATGATCGGAGGCCGGACGGTCTTCCCACCAGCGGCGTGTGCATCGCCTGCACGGGTACTCTCTGGGCTCGCTGCCCGTTTGGAGTCGGTGTCGGCCACTTCGATCGTAGTCGCCATCGTTCAGTCGGGGGTACTGGTACGGAGGTGATGGTGGATGGAGATCAAGGACCATCCAGGCGCGGGATCGCAAGTCTCCTCCCATTTATTTCTGGGCCCGTTACATAATTGCCCTTTTCCCCAAGCCCATCTGGGTTCTGAGCGCTGTGTGGTGCGTTCATCAGCGTGGCACGCCGTCCTTCTTCCAGGTTCTGGCGCACCGCCGCGGCAGCGGCAAGAGATAAAAAAATCTGAAATGACCATATGTGGGTCGATCTCCGGATCACGGGGCACATCGATTGCCCGATCACGGCGTCCGGTCCGTTATTCAAGCTCAGCGGCTATGCAGCGACGACAGCGACGCCCCAATCTTCGACGACGAAATGCGCCACATAGACAGGCTTATCGTTGGGGGGACCTCATGTGATGCGCCATGGACCACTAGGCTGTAAGGATATTTGACAGTGGCATCGGCAGCATCATAAGATGTGCGCCAAGGCCCCTAGTGGTGAAGGTGGACATATTTCGAGACGATATTGAGGAGCTATAACCCACGCAAGCAAAAAAGGAACGTTTTCCGAAAAGATAAGCTCATCTATATCTTGGATTAAATATGAGTGATTAGGCCGTATATACACCATCTATATGCGATTAAATACAGAGCACGAAAGCAGAGGGATGGCAGACGAAAGCAACTAGGCGAGTCAATAGATAGACCTTGAAGTTGAACGACATTTTCTCTATAAGATGTACTAGCTTGTTGAGCCGAGGTCGGATCTAGTAAGCTTCCTCTGGCAGGAGAAAGAGCACGCAAGGCACGACGATGACAATTCCGGCCAAAACCGTCGATACAACAGCAAGGGAAAGAGGTTCCTGGAGCCAGATGTATGTCAGAAGCATAACGGACAGGCATGCTATACCGCCATAAAAGCAGAGAAACCCTAGAGCACCATATCCCCAATAATTCAGCAATTCTCATGCCCGTCAGTTAGAGTAGGAAACATGCTCTTACAATGCAGCACGATAAACCTCCACTTCCTCCCTGAGCCATATAGCCTAAGCAAGCCAGACTCTGTTCCGAAGTACTGCCCGAAGATGGGAGGCTCGCAACGCGAGCCGTTAAAGTTGAGCGCCCCCATCCGGTCAACGACCATGAAGGCGCTTATTGTCGCGGCAGCATTTAGGAACAGTGTGGCGTAGCACAGGCCCAAGACCACGTCCTTCTCGTTCTGCGAGGTCAACCTTCTCCCGTAGGCTCCTTCATCCTTAAAGTGGTGTAAAAGTTGTGCAGAGATCCCTGCAAGGAGTCCGGACTGTCCGTTGGTCCAATGAAATGGAGTAATGGAATAAATGGACCATCAGTTAGGCGCCTGGAGGCCCGAATCTCGATGAATATACAGCGCAGGACACTCACGACAATGGCGCTTCCTTGACATGTAAGTTGCCAGCCGTTCTTGATAGATTCCACGGTCGAAGGAAGTTTATCTGTGTCCTCGCTTTAGCCTCGCGCCCGTAGCACCCAGCCACTCGGAAAATGGTGAATGCGAGCTTACAGTCCACATCAATGCCTTTGCGCAAATTCTGGATGGGTACACCATTATCTGATCTTGTACGAGGCATGCAATAACAAGGAGGTAGGTCGATTTCGGTCTTTGGAGTCGGGAAGTGCTGAGCTTTTGGTAAGCCTCGAGGTCAGCGCATTTTCTTCGACACTTGCCTTGAGGACGGACCGGTTAGTGCACGCTCCTGGACAATGACATGTGGCCTACATGCACCTCGACTTATGAACGTGCGACGATCGATGGTGCTGTCAGTTCTTTGATCCTCATAGCCTCAGTGCCCTCAAGTTAGCGCCCATGATCGCCCAGCATCGTACATAAAATTACTTAGTATAAATCAATTATCACTATAGACTCATCAAAGTATATATCTTTAGGTATATTCCCCTCACAGTAGCATTCAAGTAGGCCGCGCCTCCTTGCGAGCAGAAGCCTTGTCCTTGTCACGCTTCGCGAACAACTTGTGTCGCGGGGCTGTAGAAGGACCGGCACGCGAAATAGCTTTGTTCGCAGACTTGTTCTGCTCCACGTAAGACATGTGTTGCCCACCACTGAGGGCTGACAGGGAGCCTGTTGTTCTCTGCGCAGCAGGGAACTTGGTAGGCCCAAAGTCCTTTGACGTTACTGTTCCTGCCAAATCACCTTCGACAGCACGTATGTCAGAGCCGAGATCCGCGTCGTTGTCGTTTGCGATAAGCACAGACTGCAGAAGCTCGATCTGCTCGTCCTGCGTCTTGTAGACCAGGTCCGGGAGGTTCTCGAGACCGTCCAGGTGGGTGATGACTTTAAAAGCGTATCCTTGATCGATCAAGAACTGTTGGCGCTTGGTGCTGTAGAACATTTCTTGCGTATCTTTGGAAACGAGAGAGTAAAAGAACGCATTGAAACCCTCATCGTTTCTCCTTTTAGCACGCAAGATACGGCCTGATGGTGCAGACATGTCAATACGACATGAAACGAACCAATGAGAGCATAATCACCAAGACGCTGCGCTTCTTGACGGCGAGAACCAAAATGTGACGAGATTTGGATGAGACATGTCGCTTCAGGAAGATCGATGGAGGTGTCTCCGACCTAGCAGAATTATTTAGAGACTGGCCAGATCGTTCAAGGGTATCTTACCTTCGATAAGAAAATCGTATTGACTCGCGGATCATGCTGAAATTTCGATAAAATCATCATTCGTTCCACTTGTCCAACACCTCCGTGAATGAATAATTTCTTGAGCCGTCTGGCGTACGCCTGCAGGATGAATGAATCTCGGTTAAAGATAAGATAAGACCTATGAATCGATCCCTTACCTCCAACGCAAAGACGTTGTCCGAGAAAACGATAATCTTGTCACCACGGTCTTCATGATACTTGATTAGGAACTGACATGACTGGAACTTATTCGGGTTCATGCAGTACAAAAGCATTCGTTTGCGGGATTGTTCGACCAAGTATTGGTGGTAAAATTCCGGCGTCATTGGGCACCATACCTCCGCACACTGTTTGAATGCAAGCATTCAGTTCACGGCAAAAGTCAATCAAACGATCAAATAGTGGCACACCTGGACGTTGGCAATGTGGCCTTTTGCAGCAAGGTCCCTATGCGACGGTTAGCTCCTGTCTCCATAAGTAGAACGAGCACGTACATCCAATTGGCTTCATAAAGTTTAGGCCCAATCATATAGTTTAGATCTGCGATCTTGTCATCTTCTCTAACAAGGGTAGCTATCCGTCTACGTTAATGAGGTCCCTTCAAAGAAGGCGGTAGCCTTACCAGTGAGGCCAAGTTTGGAGTGGGCTTTGATGGTGGTGACAACACGACGGAACATAGCTGCAGGTACGACGTGTACTTCGTCCAGGAGAATAAAACCCCATTCACGAGAAGTGAGGAATTCCATCATCTTTTTCGATTCATGGGATCTGTTGTGGGTATTTGCGACCATGGAATACGTCGACACAACGATCCCGCTGTCTCCTGCGAACTAGAGCAGCGTCAGACCAAGGATACCACCTCCATGTAGACCTACCTTCTCTTTCTGGTCGGCGGTGAAGACTGCTATCTGCCGGTCGGTTACATTGGACCACTGCATGAATTGTTGCTTCCATTGCATTACCGAGACTCTGCGACAGATCGAAACATTGCGATGATCGCAGACACAGGAATGAGAAGTGAAGGGCTTACGAGGAAGTGCAAAGAACAAGGCAAGATTTCTTGATCGTGCAAGCAGCAGTAATTCCGACAAGCGTCTTCCCAGCACCGCAAGGTAGCACAATGATACCTGATCGTGCACGCCTACCAAAGATGTGAGTAAGTAGGAATCAATTCTCGTTTAAGACGACAAACCCATTTCCAAACATCTTGCTGAGGCTAGTTTCCTGGTACGGCCGAATGACAGTAGCGGGTTTCAAGTCAATGTCCAAATTGGCGTTGACGGTATCATTTCGGAAGTCGTATTCCTCGAGCATGGGGTATTCGAGCTCATTGCAACGCTTCTTCACATCCTGGTGAAGGGAAACTATCAGAGTGGCTAGGGGCCTCAGAGATGGAAGACCGCACATCGATTTTGTCATCTTTGATCTCGAATGCATGGACATTATCGTCGTCTTCTTCTATTTCGTCTGCAACAAAAATCAGACAGAACCATGACAATCCAGGAAGACATGAGGCAAACCTCCATCCACACCAACCACGGAAGTGAATAAATCTGAATCTGCAGGGTTGCCGTTTTGAGCACTCTTGCCGTCTCCAGCCTCATCTTTCTTTTTGTCCCCTTCTTTCGTTCCAGGTATGACCAAATTTCCTCGTGTCGGAGCTTTGGAGGTCGTGAAAGTAGCCGCCTTGATGCTGTTGTCCGTCTGCGCCGAAACGATCCGGGCCTCTCGGATGACACGGTCCTTGAGCAAATGCTGCAGAGTTTCGGGATGGGTGGATTCGACAAAGTATCTATTGTGCTTGAGGACAAGCTTCACTTTGCCGTAGCTCAGGGTGCAGCCTCGAATAAAAGTGACAATTGCTTCAGGAACCGGGACCTAGGCATTATTAAGTTCAGAAATGCCAACAGTGGACCGGCAAAAGCTATACCTTTGACAAGCGGTTTAGAACCTTTAACAGGGCATTAGGTCAATACTGAGGAATCACGCGAAAGACTAAATGAACCTCGATAATATCATCCGTCTGCAACCCAACGGAAACGGCGGCATACAGGGAATACGAAGTGAGCTTGTATTCATGAATCATGGCAGGCCTGAAGCGATTCATTGAAGACACGCTCGAATCAGTATTACTGTCCTCACCTGCTGACGGGCTCGCTGATTGCGGTAAGAAAATCTTGTGCTTGCTCCGCAATGGGTGAAAATGCTTCCAAGATAATATGGCCATCCTCCGGACTAATCCACAACGGCCGCGAAGTGTGGTCTGCCTTTAGATGAAGCCACGAGAAGTCTTGATCCATGAATATGTGCGATATAAGTTTGTCTTGCTGCCTGCGGTGTGCGTCGAAGGAAGATAGATTCAGAGGGGTCTCTTTGTCAGTGGAACGCTTAGTTTCTGCCAGCTTCCGTGTCAGGGCACTGAAGTTGATAGTAGCACTTTTGGGAACATAAGAAGTATCTGGAGGGGAAGGTGGTATGACATCGTCTTCATTTGCAAGCTCAAAGTCCTCATCGTCATCGGTCCTCAAACGTTTTGCTGGTTGAGATGAACCCGCTGACGCTGGAAAGGGTTGGAGCTACTCTGGTCAGATGCCTCGAGAAGTGAACGACTGACCTTCTGCAGAACGCTTGGAAGAGATCATGACGCTTTCATTCAGACGGTAGCGAAGCCACGAAGAGATTGTGATTGTCTTGTTAGATTGTGCGACTGTGGTCGTCGACGAGTTGCTGGTCGAGAACAACCACGGACAAAGCCAGGCACACTTGATATGACAAGTACTGTCCCTTTTTCAAACTCCGACTTTAGTCAGCAGCTGGTCCGAGTCACCACCGATCCAAAGGTTCACGTTCAACAGCACTGGCCACTAAGAATATGCATCTCAATTCTCCGTAGTCATAGCAAGACCCTAGAGTCTATTATCGCTTCTCAACTCTGTTCCTTTTTCTGTTCTCACATCCCAAATCGCCCGCTCAGGTCTACCGTTTGCTGCTAAAACCTGAGATCTATACCGCAGCGTGCACCTACAATGCTTCCCTGCTCTGTCAAAAGTTTTCTGTCAGCAAGCACGGACTGTACCCGCAAGACGGCCGAGGACCTTTCATCTCCACTTTTCGGCATCCAAGAGACAGTGAGTACATAGGTCCGTCCCTAAGCGCCGGCGCTTATTTCACACCAACTAGCTAAAGCGCTTCCGCAGACATCCAGGGGTCTTAAGTAGCTCCGCATCCAGCTTGTTTTGGTAATGTATTCTCTCCTTGAAGGCAAATCAACCCTAAGACCTGTTTATTTTAGATATGTGATAGCCTTTTACTCTCGGAACAAACCACGACGGCCGTCTCAGCACACCACGCCTCCAACGCGTTGGGAAACCTGCATTATCCGCAAATCTCCAGAACTCTCGTTCCTGGTTTCATATCTTCAAGTTCTCACCGCCCAGAGTCCACGATTGATGCATTTTTGGAGCTCAGATGATCCTTTCGTCGCCTCAGAGTCTCTCCATCTCACTATCTTTTGGCAAAGCACTTACCGATGTGGCCTTCCATGTGTAAATCGGCATCCTAACGCGTTGCAGAGATTGCACGTCACAACGTCATTTTATCCTCGCATTTCACACTGCCCCACTGAGCGCCTGCAGGTCTTCCGAATGGCAATTCATCGTCTCACGGGTATAAATACGTACCCCTCCCCCATGGGACATTCGAGCGCCATCGATCCTTCCTTTCTCACCGCCGACTAGACTACACTATGGCAAACGACATATCCGTTCAAGCAGAGGTTTCCAAGATCTCTGAGGGTATTCCCGCGACGAATTTGATCAAATCTTTGCTCAAATTCATCGTCATTGACGCCGCGGCGTACCAGCGAGATGTTATGCTGGCTCATCAAGTTTTTTACCGATCTCGAGTGGCTTACGAGGCGATTGGAACTCTGGCAAATGCTGTCGAGCAAGCAGCTGCTCCGGATTGGGAAAGCTTCGAGAAGTACGCAGGTGCCATCCCGCCGTTGGAGAGGTATGCTGCTGGTTGTGGAGGTAGTTCAGGCGCTAACATGACGAGCCTAGGCTCCTACTACAGTTCTATGCTAAGAGCGCAGAAGACAAGTCTCGCAACCATCTGCCGCCTCAACCTCCTTCTCCATTGGACGCCATCACTTTCATTGCCAGATGGAAGGAAGATAGGAAGATGCTGGCCGAAGTATTGGACGGTCTGGCAAACAACGACATTGCGGTCTGTCCCCCATCTATCATCGCTAGAATGTGCATTGACGATTGGAACAGAACCTCTCAGAAGATGTGAGGAAGGGTGTATCCGCTAGTCGCCAAGATGCTCGAACCTCGGACGACAAAGCCACTATATCAGCCTTATACAATTACTTAAGGAGCAACACCTTGAATGACAGATCCATCGTTCAACCGTATGTAGCCGTATGTTCAGTGTCTTTATGGACTAGTTCCTCTTAACACATGCATCATAGACGCAATGGAAGGATGATTGTCACCATCAAGGATTCCATTCGGCAGATTCAAGCAAAGGTCCTCCAGGCCCCGCCAAGAGAGGTAAGTCAGCTTCCTCAAAGGAAGACATTGTCACTTGCTGAATCACCAATAGGAAACGTCGGCGATGGTTATCACATCTTTCATGCTCATTTATATTCCATTTTCTCTCCTTCTCACCCCCACTACTGAGAAAGAATGGAAGGAATATCTCAAGGGTGAAGAGATCTGGAAGGCTGTGTTGAGGTATTGCCGCTGGTCATCAGATTTTCAGACTTACTGACCAAATGCCAGTCTTGCAACGAAGTTATTGGCTCACCTTAATTCAACTGCGCAACAGGCCGTGGTGCTCGCCGAAGTCGAACAAGAATGGAGCAAGCTCGAGGCGCTACTGCTGAAGACATCTATTCATGACATCGACACCTTGGCAGAGATGTTGGAACTAATTAGACTCGCCGCGAAGATCCGACGACCCTTCCATGGACGCACCGTCGAACTCATCAGGATGATTCACCGTCTCGACACTTACTCCAGTAATCGAGCGAACAATGTTGGCACGCACCGCAAGGCCCTCAAGGAGTAGGTGTCAATCGATATCCTGTGATGATTACTCATTTTATCAACAGCCTCATGCAAGACTCCATCGAGGCGATCGAGAAAACATCCAAGGAGGTTGCCGATGTTCAAGCTATTACAACGACCTCTCCGGTTTACCAGACACATGCCTCTGCCCTCCAGGGCATCCTCGATGGCGTTAAGGAAACGTTCAAAGCGGTCAAGGTGTGTAACATGACCCTTATACATTTTGGTAGCGCTGTGGCTGATGAAACGCTTTGCAGCTCGATGGTGAGTGGGATGCAAAGGACAAGAGCTACAAGGCTGCAGTCAAAGTCGATGAGGACCACCTCAACAGCATGAGGAAACGCCTGGGTCTCGACGGGCCGGCGTTGGCCGGACCAGCTTGAGCGCCTGTGCTTTTGTTACGTTGAAATTTTTGCTGTTTCAGATCGTCCCTATTTGCCTTCGAATCCCCTCAACCCCCTTCCCTTTTATTCTGACTATGCCTGTTGTATCCTCCTCGAAAACCGCTTTCAATTTCTTATTTTCAAGTTGGTCCCTCTGAGGGGATGCCATCTCAATAAGGCGCTGCGGTTTTGTGTTTCGATTTATGATCAACTGCGGGTCCCTCCATCTTCACTTCGCAACCACACGATACATGATGCCTCAAGCATCAGGCCTCACTGGCAGGGTGCACACGACTCTCCTTGCGGCCTACGTTAGATTTCATTACCGCTTTGTATCGGTGGTCTCGACTCGCACCGGCAAGCCCTCAAACAGCAAGCAAAAGCCCCGAGCCCTTCCCAGTCCTAAGGAACCTTGTCCGCTTTAAAATCCTGTAACGCAGTTCTTGGACCTGCACTAAAGCTGCCCTCGCTTTCATCACGAATTCTGCGTTCCTCCACTCAAGTCCGAGGTGATCGATAGTGGTCCAGTGACCGCAACGTATACCCGGTCGGCCGCTAGCAATAGCCGATTTCATGACAGAATGGAGCGGTCGGGCATGGATCGTCTATTGAACAGCCGCGTTTCGATGAATGAACGTTGTGTCGCTACTACACCTGCACTTCAGCTACTCGACAGGTCGGTTATTTCAACGGGTGTGCCAGGCGGGGAACAGGCGAGTATAAACGAAGTCTTGTACAGAACAAGAATCCCTCAAAACCTTTGCCTTTTTCGTTTCCCAACACTTGTACTCGCCGACGTGCTCTCGATCTAACATGCCGATTAAAGTGCAAAGAGCAACTTCACTGGACTGTACGTTTAACCGCTCCCTTTTCATTTGAATATTCATCCCAATAAATTAGACCGACTCCCTTCGACCGTGGAGTCGATCCAGCAAGGCTGGCTAACATCGTGTCAAGCAAGCAGCATTATCGTAAGGCTCGCGATACCATGTATCTGTGATTGAAATACTCAACTCTTGTAACGCAGTCTGGAATCTTGGCGGTCGTCTCCGCACTTCTTCTAGTTATCCTCAAGAACCCTCAGAATTTCGACCCTGCACTGGGGAACTCCAGTAGCAGCCGCATCGCTCTCGAAGTTCTCGCATACGCGTCGCTGTTTCTGAATATAAGCGCCTGCGTCAGTTGCTTCATCCTCTTGGACCGACTTGGCGATGTTCCATACCATGCAGCACAAGAATCCGACACACTTCCGAGTGGTGGAAAGGCCGTCATGCCCCAGATACGTATTCTCACAACCTACGGAGTCGGTGCTTTATGGCGTTGGGTAGTCTGGCACTGTATGCCCGATTCAATATGTTGAAAAGAGAAATGTTACTAAATTATCGTTTCTATTTTCCATAGGGATTATCTGCTTTTTGACTGGAGTCTGGTGCATATTTGCCCAGGTGCTGACCTACATTTGGCTCCAGGAGTCTAGAGAAAGCCAGATCGCTATAACTTGTGTTTGTGCGTTCTCTGTACTTCCGGGAATTGCTTTCATTCTGGCGCCGTTTTTCAACGGCCTCACAAAGTGCGAGTCTGCTAATACCAGACGAAGGTCTGGTCCACCTTGCGATGTTGTTCAGATATCACGCCTTCCTCGAGATGATTTAGAGTCTGGGCCACGTACGCCTCACTCTCCTCATTCGCCGCCGCGTACACCACTCGCACCTGCCAGCCCGGCAACGAGCAGGCGATATAGTTCTCCGACTTCTCCTGACAGGCATACTAAAATGTCGTTGGGATCTACGAGATAACAACGTAACTATTTCGTGTGCTTTCTCCACCTTTCTCTTAGTGATAATCTATACAGCTCAAGTAATGCTTACTATTTATGATTTATTACTTATTAGTATCGCAGTCCTCATCGATAGTGTGTAGGACGTGGGCAAACACTAGAGTGCGTCGATAATTTATTGGACCAGTACATCTTATGTATTAAATAAATAAATAAGGCTCACCGTCAGCTGCAATGTGGTAGCGGATCTTATTCTCTTGTTTTGAGGAGGGAAGAGGATAGCCTATTTTGGCATGAACGCCACAGAGCCAAAAAAAAAGACATGTCCCGATCAGTCGCTCAGCGGTCAAACCTCCCGCTCTGCGCTCACCTGATTCTTGCCTGATACTCTATTTCTTGAGTACATTCTCCCAATGGGACCCGGAAAGTCCCTCGACGGTAATGAATCCTACCCTCCTACGGCACGATATTTGCACGATACAGATTGCCACACTGTCACATTGTGCGTGCCGGAGGGCCTCGGCAAGGGACCAGATTCAAAGAAGGGCGGAGACAGTACTAGTGTAAAATGAAGCATCACAGACTATTACGATTTACTGAAACTGCACACCACGAAGACCCATTGGAAGTGAGTCAAAGATGAGATATTAGAGGCGCTATGGAGCCATGCTCGAAGCATTTTAATTTATGAGGACAATCTACGACTACCCTCCTTAGAAGCTGGGACAAAGATGTCTTCCGTTGAAGCCAAATTAATATGTGTTCTCGGGATCTCCTGGGATGGCTCGCTGTCGAACAGACGCGGCAACTCGGCAATGATGTAAAATTCCCAGGATACGGTGGTGTGACCTCTTTGCAATCTAAGAGCCGGGTTCTGTCTAAGCCCCCAAGAAAGTTTCAAGTCCTTCTCTTACCTTCTGATGGGCAAGGACATCAAGACAGAGCCTCTACCTGCACCTGAAGACAATGTGAAGCCTTTGAACTACAGAGAACAATTCTCGGCAAGTTTTCCAACTCTCCACTTAAATTACAGTACCTCATGAGTCTTGAAGGGTCGACATGTCTCTTCTAAGTTCATTGAGTGAGCCTTGGATGTCTATTCGTATTCGTTGTAATGATATCTCACCAGACGACTTCGCAGTCCTTGTGCAGCTGCGTCGAAGGCTTCGATGGACTGTTTGAACCGAAATGACTACGATCGGGATGCATGTCTTGAATATTTCCAGGCGTATAGAGATTGCAAGAATACATGGGTGAGCCCGGACATGTTTCATGCGAGCCCTTTGAATTCATGGACTTGAGACACAGATCAAGCAGAGGAAGGACGACCGACGGGCAGGACGACCCACGTCATAACTAAGGCGGCTCAGTCCGCACACACTCATGCTAGCGCTCTAGCAACCTCCTGTTTTATAGGCAGAACGACACAATACATTGAAACTGAGGACAACACGCGGACTCGCAAGCCATGTGTATCGCTACTCTGTACATGTATGATGTATGATCCATCAGGTTGCGGACTCACAACTCAGAACTCTTCATATGAGCGTCCCACGCACCAGGCCCGAATCCTCGATCTTTGCCTAGGGCCTCATCGACTACGCTCATCATAGCAAGAACTTTTTCCTCTTCCCACTTCTTGCCAACAAGCTGGATACCAACTGGCATCCCTTTGGTCGCTTCCGGGTTGTACAGTGGTTGCTTTCCTCTGTAAATACCGGCTTCGAGGACAGGTGAACCAAGTCCGGGGCCTTTGGTCCACTCCTCCGTAAGGGCATCCTTACTAGGGTCTACACGCGTTACTGGAAGACATCCAGCTGGCATGTCTAAGACGTTGTACAGGATGGTGGCTCCTGCCAGAGCAGAGAAATTGTCGCAACCGCTATGCCAAATAAAATGAGTTCCTCGCCTGTTCTTCGTAGCGCGGAAGTTTTCATAGTAAGACTTACCCGTGAGGCAACTGGGGAAGGGCTTGGACAGGAGCGATGATGCTGTCGAATCCATGCTTCTCCCAGACCTGTGATACGGTGGCTTTGGTTCAGGATCTCCTTCACAATGCACACCAGAAATGAACTCACTTCCTCATTGAATCTTCGGAGATACGCTCCCTTCTCAGACAGAAGCTTCCAGTACTCAGTGACGGTCTTCGCTCTCGTGACTCGTACTGTATTGGCGAAGATCTTGTCGCCCCAGAGTGTCTCCATGAGCCATGTCGCAAGCGTTCGAATAATAGCTAGAAGCAAGTGCGCTAAAAACCATGTCGCCAGTAGCTGAATCTGGGACACGTACAAGGGAGCCGGGGACCCAACGTCACCAAAAATAGGGCGTTTTCCTGATCGTGAACACAGCGGTGAAAATTGTGCTAGAGAACCACTACAGCCAACAATACCTTAGGATCTGGCCCGAGATGGCTAAGCATGGTTTTGTAACCATCGGCAGATGTGATCCCAGCGAAAAGGTTGAAGGGTATGTAAGCTGGAAAAATATTCAGCGCGGAAGCGAACGACGAGGAACCTTTTCCCTTACAATCGGGTATCTCAAACTCAACGCATTCATGACCAGCAGCTCGCAGCGTTTCGACGGTTTCCAGAACGGCACGCTTGCAAGCGGGTGAAGCCTTGATATAGTTATCTACAATCTACAATTGATATCTGGGGCCGGGTCGTAAGACGGTGATATCGTACCTGAAGTATAATACCCAAACTTGAGTTTGGGAGGCAAAGTGGCTTCACGGAAGGGAACCGGAGGAATAACGCTATTCGTGCTAGGAGCTCCGAACAAAACGCGAGAAACGAGCTCCAAGTCCTTAACGGAACTGCAAGATATGAATGTAAGTCTATAACATCAATAAATGTGTTTAGCAAGACACACCGGCCCATGGGTCCTGCGACGGAAACAATGCCGTCGAATCCTGGAACAGGTCCTACAGTGGATAGTAAGCAACAGCCTTCCAACAGAACTCGATACCAACCTTTCGCGCCGACGTAAGAAACTCTCCCACTCGCAGGCTTCAACGAATAGACGCCACAATATGCGGTAGGGATGCGCAGACTCCCTCCAATATCGGTTCCAATCCCAACAGCGGACCCATCCATGGCGAGCAGGGCGGCTTCGCCACCGGAGCTACCTCCACAAGTGTAGGCATCGCTGTAGGGATTCGTCGTACATCCCCAGACGGGGTTGGAACACTCGAACGCGAACATGGTTTGAGGGATGTTGGTCTTGACATAGAGGACCGCACCAGCTTCCAGTAATTGGTTGATAATCTAAGGTTTCCAGTGTTGTAGGAGTGACACGATGAACTGGCGGGGATAACTCACATCTGCATTCCTGGTTGCTGGCTTGTTTGCCCATTGGGAGAATCCGACTGAGGTATCGACTCCTGCGATCTCGACTGAACAATGGAAGAATCTTGTTAGTGACTTTAACCTGGAGATATCGACCGACGTACATTGCTCCTTGACACTAACCTGGAATCGAGAATAATTTTAGCAAGTTGACAATAAGGGGGCTAAACAAGACGAACAGGAACACCGTGGAGAGGGCCCTTCAGCTTCTTGGTCGCTGCGAATTCGACGTCGAGTTCACTGGCACGCTGCCTCGCGGATGCCAGCATTACTGCAGATCTAGGAGCTTAATTCTCGCACGCATACAGGCAATCGACACGAGGCACCTTCAGTCAAACAGTTGGTCTTCGCATGGGCATATGCCGCGCGGGCAATGAACGCCTCGAGAACCTGGGTGGCCGTCCATTCCCCCTTCTCGATGCGCGACACAATTTCCGTGGCTATGAGCCGCAACAGGAGTAGATAAGCGCCTAGAAAACGAATCAAGCGGACACGAACCTGTTGCTTTGAGGATCACTGACTGGCTCTCGACAACGTCTTTGGGCACATCGTCTAATGCCTGGGCGCGGTGGGCGCGTTTCTCCGTGACAATGGCGGTGTTGGAAGCTGAGAAGGGCCACATCGTGTAGTATTTGTGGTCGCGTCGATGACGAATATAAGGACCTACGCCACAGTCATGAACGTCTCCGTCAAGCTATGTGCGGTTACTGCGGCAGAGAAAGGTGCCGGAAATCAAGTGCATGACCTCAACATCAATTACCACAATTGGACAACATAGCAGCGAGAGCAGTACCTAGGACAAGGGTGATTTACTCAACGCAACATAAACGAGGATTACTGTCTATAAATACTACTGCAACCTTGGCAACGGAAGTAGAAAGCAAATAGATAGGCATATAGGCCTTTACGAGCTTGGAAGCGGAGGAGGTGCTTCAGGCTGAGGCGCAAAAATCAAGTTGAGCGGAGGGGTCGTCTGGCTATCCTCACTCAGGAGGGTGGCGATGATAGACCGGCCAGCGAACGACCTTCCGGCCAATGAATTCAGGGCGTTGGAAGCAGCCTCAGTGGTCCTGTACTTGACGTATACGCGGCCCACGCCAGCTGCTTCATCCAACCGCGCCGCATCCTGAGCACTGATTCCGCTCTCGCCCCATTTGCCTTTATCCTTCTTCACAGGCCTAGGAATCCTGAGGTCTTCGACTTCTCCGTAATTAGAGCACTCTTCCTTGACGTCTTCATAGATGTCGCCGTATTCCTGGTCGTCGCCCAGGTCTTCGGCGGTGACCATGTTCAACATTAACAAGATACGGGCGTCTTGAGAGGAATCCTGTCCGGCTGGCATGATTGGGCGAGGTACTTCCGGGAACTGATCGTACGGGATGGCGGGGTTCGGTATAAGACCTGGAGCACCGCCTTTGGCTCCGACAGAAGCACGTTGGACGACAAGGTATCGGTCGCCAAGTTCCATGCCGTTCAAACTCTGAATAGCGACGTCAGTGACGCTAGCATCAACGTACTCGAAGAAAGCGAAGCCCTGGAAGAAGTCGGTATCAGCGAGAAGACTACACACAGGGACAGGCCACTCATACCTTGGAAGCACCCGTGCCATTTTCTCTGACAAGGTTGAAGGCCCGAAGCTCGCCGAAGCTCTTCAGAAGTTCCATGACGTTCTCTTCGTTGAGGTAAGTGGGAAGACCACCGAGGAAGATTTTGTTGATCGAGTCAGGGACATTAGTAGAGACGACACCTGGAACGTGCACTCCAGGAGACGAGATCTCCGCTCCACCATAGTCTTTGGGCCGACGAATTTTGAGAGGACCATTGATAAAGATGATTCCATCGAAGGCCATGGCTGCAGTTGCATCTTCCGCGCTACGGAACTGAAAAGACGTAAGGAATTAGACTCAGCCGTATAGACTGTATGATCGACTTACCTCAACAAATGCATAGTTCTTCTCGTAGTTGCACTGTACCGCCAAAACAGGGTTCCCAGGGCCACCGGTACCGATGCTCATTTCGATCATCTTGGAATTGAAGAAGTCCGCTAGGTTTTGCTCATTGACATCTGGAGTGATGCTGCCAATGTAGAGACGCCGAGACTGGCGGGACAGGTTGGGGTTGGCACCAATACCCATACCAAAGGTTTGAACGGGCATTGGAGGAGGAAGACCCGCGATGCCGAGGATGGGCGGAATTTGCGTGCGGTTGGCGCCAGGGAGGTTGAACAGACCTAAAAAAAAGTTGTTGATATATCGTCATGATTTTTTTTCTTCTTCATGGGACTGACCTGTTTGCTTCGCCTGCATGGCGGTATATTGCTCATAACCTGGAGCGTGAACATCCCAACCTGATGCCTTGCGTTTTCTTTGGGACAACGGAACAGCACCTTCCGGTGTAGGTGACCTTCGTTCAGGTGTACCCATATCCTTCCCTCTCCTCCCACGTCCACCACCACCGCCACCACGAGGGGGCCCATCGTCCCCCCTGTGGCCGCGAGGAGGACCCATGTCATCATCGCGGCCGCGACGGTCATGTCTGCGGTCGTCCTCAAATCTTGGAGGGGGTCGACCCCCGTGGTCACCGAAATCCCTGCCTCCTCCACCGCGACCTCCGTACCTGTCACCACGGTCTCTGTCCCCTCCACGTCTGCCTCCTCGGTCCCTGTCGCCGCCATATCTGTCGCGGTCGCCACGGTCGCCACGATGTTCGCGGTAGTTGTCGCGGTCGCTGTGGGAGGAACGGTACCTGTCCTCTCGGTGAGAGCTGCCGCGTGCTGTAAAGAAAAACGGGGAAGAAAAGCGATGGCTGGGTAAGTAACGCGTGCGGATCTCGATGCTATGGGGTTAGAGGTGCTAGTCGCATGGACCACGACACAGAAGCGCTGGCGCCGGTGCAATGGGGTGCTAGACGCTAGAATGCTAAAAAAAATGCTAGAAGAGAAGGACTCCTCGGGGACTGTGCTGCTGCATGCTAGCTGTAGGAACAAGGATGCATGGTGCCAGGAAGGAAAATGCACCATGAGCCATCGTTGTAACGCGACAATGACAGGAAAAAAGGGGAGGTGAAGAGAAGAGGAGAAGAGACTCACTACGGTATTCGTCGCCCATTTTTTGCTAGTTGGAATGAGGTGTACAAGTCCAAGTGTGACTTGAAACTCCGCTCACCATTTGGTCTCTCCTTCCCGTCCAACCACCACCACAGCCAACCATGCCGACAGAACTCCCCTACGCCGCAGATGCAGAAATGTCCCTCACCTACGACGAGCTTGACGTATGCCTCGGAATCCATAATATAATATAATATACTTACGCGTAACCTCAGGTCCTTCGCCTCCAGTATCTGAAGGAAGTCGCTCAAGACCATGTCACCACTCAGACCAAGTTCAACTATGCCTGGGGTCTCGTAAAGAGTCCAATGCGCGAGCACCAGGTCGAGGGTGTGAGGTTGCTGCAAGGTCTGATTCCCCTCGTCTTCTTTCCACCGAGAGAAGCTTAGTGACATCATCCCTACAGAGATCTACCGCACAGAGCCTGCGCGGAGGAGAGAATGCCTGTACTATCTTGCGCTTGGACATTATAAGATGGGGAACTTTGAAGAAGCGCGCAAGTTTAATGGTACGATTAGGGTCTTTGTGTCACCAGTTATCGCTCATCACCCCGCAGCACTGCTCCTGGAGAAGGAGCCTACAAATATGCAGGCTCAAAGCTTGGGACAACTGATAGACAAGGGCGTCACTCGAGGCAAGTCGCTTAACTCTTCGATCTTCGTATGCTAATCGTTCGACAGAGGGATACATCGGAATGGCACTGGCTGGCGGAGCGGCAGCGATCGGGACGATACTCATCGCAGGCCTCATACGGCGAGCACACCGCAAATAAACGCTTTCCCCCTGTTCTCGCTGCTAACTTCCAGCCAATGGTCCTCTGCACGCTCTCACGAACTCTCCGATCGACTTCGCACTTGTCATTGTAACGCAATGCTCGACCTGCAAATCCTTACGACCTGGGACGACCGCTCTTACCCGGACCTGCACACCTCGATAACGCATACGGACCTTGCAATTGCTTTCCTACAAATCATCCTCGACACTCGATCTCCACTCCGATACGCTTACCTATATCTTTATTAATAAAGTCGACCATAAGAAAGACCTGAAGACGCTCCTCGCCTCGCCGTCCATGTATGTCTATCTTGCAATAGAATGAACTATTTCCAAAGGAGAAAGCGCTGGTATGTCCAAAGGTTAGATACAACATGTTCTGATACAAATAAGTTAAGCAGTGAATGCGTAGGAGCAATGGTAATGATGAGTGTGGTGTCCTGCAAGCTAGGGTAACCTTGATGTTGAAGTGAAGAATCTAGGTTGGTTGATATATGCCGTCGTAATGATTCGTCCACTTCATGATGAGTCATTTCCGGGTGTAGGATGAGGAGAGAAACTGTGTGATGCAATACGTGCAGGCTTCATGTTGGCAAGAACGATGCTAGAACCAGACATGAGCCACAGAGAGGATGCGACTGAAGACTGTGTCACACCTGCTTGAGCATCCATTTCTTCTTTTGAGAGCTGCAAACGAGGAGTGGATTAGGAGATTGGATAGACGTTAAAGCCATCATTGACGTACCTTGAAAGCGTAGATTCCGAGGACGGAAAATCCTCCCAAGGCAATGAGTTGGAAAATAATCCAGAAAGTGGCCCATACTAGAATTTTTTGTCAAACGAGCTGCAAAGCGATCTTTGCTCTCAATACATACTGTGGGCACCAATTCGCGGGTATAGAATGGCAAATTGTGTCGCATCTGAGTCGTTGGTTTTGTGAAAGAATCTATCGTCGGCGACATCCCCTGCAAGCCATCACTCAATCAGCCTCCCTCTCAAATGCCAAGCGTCTTTTTGACTAACAAATAACAAATAGGATGCTGAAAATACGTGTCAGCACAAGACAACCCAAAGAAAGGACAACTTGAGCTTACTTCATAACTCCGATGAAGAGACAGTACCAACGTAAGGCTTGGCTAAACAGATTGTTCCAGAAGAGTACCATGAAGAGGAACGAACGGCGTACGCATGATCGACAAACCAAAAACCGATGAGTAGAGCCTCGTAGCCCATTGTCAATACGATTGTCCTTGAGGCAGAGAAGTCAGCACAAATTTAGAAAAGAACTTTGTGGAACGACGGACAATTTATCCCGAACGAGCACCAAAGGCAAGACGAGCCCCACTCCGAGGATGAAGCTCAGTACCTTTGCCACCAGCGTATCCCATCCAGCCAGCACAAATGCCCCACCCAGTAGCGTCGAGCCGATGTACCCGGACACCAACACGAAGCCCGGCGTCCCTCCTTCCACTATTGTCGCTCCTCCCACTTGCGGATCGATTGTGATTTTGAGTATTCGACCTCCAGAAAGTATTGCCTAGGCGAAGGAAGGTGCCAAGGAGGGAGATGGAATCAGCTTTGCATGCCCAATCCACGCGGAGGACGGCAATGGCTGCATGCCGTAGTACACACCGCCGATATATGACAGAGTTCGTGCCAGCCGATGGTGAAGAGCTTGAGCGGGTTGATGAGGTTGCGTACGACAGGCACGTTCCAAAAGCCAAAAATGACGACGGCCATTGCGACTATCTGTCCGTCGAAAAACAAAAGATCCATGAGTGTTCAGGCCACACGGTCGATTGCAGAGCGCTGGGTTACCACATAGAGAACGACCACCTGTTCAACACGAGGCGGGTGAGTTATTCGGGTAAATACGAATTTGAGGTAATATTGTCAGGAACCAGGCTCACTTGGTCGCTGGAGGGGGTAAGTGGACCCTCACCACTTGCAAGCGCAGTGGTCGAGGCAAGTGGGGGCGCCACAGGCGGCCGGGTCGGGATTGTGGACATCTACAGGCCAGAAAGCTGATTCTGCAGGCAGAAGATAAAGAGGAACGTGGATGTGTGTGGAAAGGACTGGAATCAGGCGTTGGGACGGATTCCTTCACGTTACGGCGTGTGCATTCCGAAGTGGTTCAACTCCAACTTATCAGCGGCCCGATGTCACCGTGGGTGGACGCGTCGGTCACGTGCAGACGCTCTGAATCCAAAAGCTCTCTAATCTTGTACTAAAGACTAAGTACTTTGAGCAAAATATGCCTCCATCATACTCTCGGGCTGGTTTATTTGCTGCTATATCCAAGTCGACTCCAGATAACGCCTCATCTACTCTAGGTATTTAAATATTTATCCTTACATAGATCCCAGGATAAACCTCCATTTGAATTGCAACAGAGCACGGCTTGCTCAGGCTACCTTCGGCGCTATCCTCTACGAACAGTTCGCCTCTGTGTACCTTTTGCGCCAGCTTTTCCGTTTCCTCCATCCTCTCTCCCTCGCATCCTTGTGAGCCAAAACCCCATGATCTACTCTCATCCATCCTCAGCCGATCTACCTCTTGTGCTCTTTGTCGTCTCATCGGTCACGCCATCCACAGTGTCGTATGTATAACTAGAAAGCACCCCATACCAACGCCCCACGAATCGTCTTCTTTGAAAGTAGAAGATCTATTCACGGTTGGGCTCAAGGGCTCGGTTCTCCGTTGTTTCCTTACTCCAGATCCCATTTTATCGTCGAACCTACGGCCATTACCAACTTTCCGAGTACTGGTAAGTTTAAGGCCGGAGAGAGATCTCAATGAAATCTATAGGGTGATGGACCCAGATGCGAAAGAGTTGAAACCTACCATCCAACTCATTCAACCCTTCTTGCCCACCCAAGTTTCTCCAGAGTCTACCAGTCCTCCTGACATAGAACACCACGGATCAATCGTTCGCCCAACACTCGACATCCCTCTTCTTAAAAAATGGCTCGAAGTCTGCTCCAAACACGGCCATATCACCCCCAAGTGGAGTGAACCTGATACTCCCTTCCAGATCCTCCTCATCGACGTCCTCCAGCGGTGTCTCGTCCGTGCTGGAGCAGAGAAAAACTATGTCGCCTTGAGTTATACCTGGGGTGGCGACCAGAAGATCAAGCTCCTCCGTGCCAATCTAGAGCAATGGAAGAAACCAGGAGGCATGCTAGAGTATTCTGAGTTCCCGAAAACACTTGGAGATGCGATTGCGCTCGTCCGGGCGATGGGCGAGTCGTATCTATGGATAGATGCATTGTGCATCGTACAGGACGACGAGGGACCCGATCGAGACACCCAGCTGAAGCAGATGAATAAGGTTTACGAGTTCGCCAGGTTCACGCTCATCGCCGCTGCAGGGTCGAATGCAGATGCTGGACTCCCAGGTGTGAACGAGGACAGACAGAGATCGCATCAAATGGTAGAAATCATTGAAGCCTGAAGGGCACAGCCTAACGGTCCCACTTCCACCGCTCCTTGACGCGATCGCCATCACTCAATGGCGCACGCGCGGGTGGACGTACCAGGAACAGCTTCTCTCCCCCCGCAGTCTAATATTTACACCCTATCAGGTCTACTACCAGTGTGACGGGCAGGTCTTTCAAGAAGACTTTCGTTCACCCTCTGAAGTCGATGGTCGTGCGCGGCGCAACTCCTGGTACTCCAACGAGCGCCTCTCTACGCCAATGGAACGTATCTTGTGCACCGATCCACGCACGCTCGAACTTTCTACCCAAGAAGGCTCACCCGCTGGTCTCTTTGACCGTTACAGGAGTGTTATCGGTGTATATACACGAAGGGACCTTGGGAGAAAAAGCGACGTTATTGCCGCGTTTTCTGGTATATCAGCCGCACTCCAGTGCTTCCCTGCTAGCATGGGGTATGTTGCCGGTCTCTCGGTTGGGGGGCTCACAAATGCTCTCCTGTGGACCCCCAAACAACCTTTGACGAGGCGCCGTGACAAGATTGGTGGAAAGGAGGTGAACGTGTTCCCGACATGGTCATGGGCTGGATGGGTGGGCCCAGTAAGCATCGAGAATGTATCTGACCTCAACGCACCCCAAGTATCGGAATGGTGGATTATATACGGCCCAAAGGAGAAAGAGGAAAAAGTTAAGCTACCCATCGTCGACTTGAAGACAGAAAATTATTACCAGCGTCAGAAGGAAGGGCCTTTCTCGCAGCGAAGGAACGGGGCCTGGGAGGTATCCCAAGCACATACTTTAGAGTTCAGAACCATGGTGGCCACTTTTCACGTTTCTGTCAACGAGGGACAGAACACCAGCGGTTTCTTTCCCATATACGACGCCAAAGACCAATGGGTGGGCGCACTGAGTGTTACTAGTGTGGACGCGCAAAATGCTTTACAGTCCGACGAGGCAGTGCTTGAAACCAAAGCTCTTCGCCTTTTCTTGCTAGTATCCAACAGATCTTCTTCTGCCGCCATATTTTCGGATCCTGCAGTTTTCCCATCGGGGAAGGAGTTCGCACTCAATGTAATGATGGTTGACAGGTTGGCTAGTGGCGAGATGGAACGTTTGGGCCACGGTGTTATACATATTACGGCTCGGAAGGAGGCATGCCCTGTTAAAGAGGAAGTGAGGATGATATAGATGTCGATCCTGTTACGTGCAAGCTGACTGACGTTGGTAGTTGAATACGATCTCGGTATTTGTACTCAAAGATGGTCTTAACAGGTGCGTGTCGCCACGCATTTCGTAAGTAGGATTGTAGGGCGCCAAAATTAGACGCCCGATCATGGGACGCGACTGTCACGTGCAACAAGCACAGCTACAGCCCTCTCCCGGACCGTCCGACCAGGGTCGTAATTCGCATATACTACTACACTCATTCACTCTACCTGTTCGTTATGCTGAATTCTCCCTGAAAAACTCCAACTGACAGTAGAACAGCCATAATCATTCGATAGACATCAGATGAGGATCGATATTGCAGTCTTGCTGGGATCCAGGACAAGGTATGGTGTTTGTTGATCATCCAATCCTTCGCTATTCTGCACAACAGTGCTGATGAAGTCTTCGAGGTCGTCCCTCAACACTCTAGCCGCATCGCGGATGATGGCTGGGCTCGAGGTCGACTGGCATGTCGTCACAGCGTAATGGAGGATGTTGCTGTCGTCTGGAACTTCAAACGACAACAAGTACGGCACTTGTGCCATAACCAACCAATCCCGGGGTCGATTAATTGGAAGCGCCGCCAATATCTCCTTCTCTCCGAAGTTCTGAAGCTGTGACAACGACTTCGGAAGCGGGGTATAGAGAGCTGCTGGCTTGTTGGGGATGAACGTCTGGTAATACTGCTGCAGATAGTTGACAGCAGTATGTTGTGGTGACGCTACGTGAATGCACATAGTGACAAAGTCGATCAAGTCATCCAAAGTCTCGATGTCAGGGAAGCTGAATAGCTGGCCCCCCGTTTGCGAGCGGATTTCCCGACAGAAAGCAGCGAGGTCCTTGTCGTTAGCCACGTCTTCATCATCACCATAAGCACCTGTGAGGACCAAACAGACAAAATTTCGTATAATGTCCCACATGCGAGCGATGTTGCGTGCGTAGCCGCAATTGTGGTACTTGAATTTGTCCAAGTCCTCGATGGGGAAGCCACGCCTGCGTAGGTCGTTCGGGACGTAGCAGTTGGTCCAATCAAACTTGCTATATGCGGCCTTGAGGAAGGCGTACGTTTGCGCGTGAGTGAAGCCAACCATCCCGATGATGATTTTGGGCACTAGAGTCAAACGAGCTGCTTCGTTAAGCGAGAGGGTGGTTTGCCAGTGTGGCTCCAAAAGTTTGAAGATTATATGGGCAGGGTCAATTGTGCGATGTGCTGCGACGATAACGACCTCCTCGACGAGGTGTGTGTTGACAAGGTGGACAGCGACTTCATGACGAAGCCAATCGGAAACTTGGGCACACATTTTCGCGTAACGCCAGGGCCAATCTAAAGCCTCGTCACCGGCACTCGTTGACAGAATGCGGCGATTTAAAATGCACACAGACCGGTCCATGCTACCCTTGTAATCGATAACGATGGCCAAGGGATGCAGCTGGCCTTCGGGCTCGAGGTGGAAGAGTACGACAGCAGCACAGCCATACCGCCCATCTGTCATGAAATCCGCGCTGGCAGAGACGCCCATGACGGAGCGGAAGTCGCTGTAGTCCTGTATGTAAAGGCACTCAGCATCGTCGTCGAGAAGCCTGGCTATATCAACACGTTGCTGAATCTGCGCGACGGATTTGAACTTGTCGATCCATTGTTGAGGTGCCAGGGTGATGGTGGTGGGATTGGTTCCGGTCAACTGCTGCTGCCCAAAGGCTGAGTCCGTATACCAGTCGTCGCGATGCCCAATGTTCTTGCTATAATACATGTCGCGGTCGCCCTTGGCACCGGCGATCTGCCTGGATTTCTCGTGAAGTCGGTAGTTGCGGTCGATGAGGTCTTGCATGCAGCAGATCGAATCTGCCTCGGGCGCCAGATACCGGAGCTTGACCAACAGTTCTGGTTGGATAAAGAGCATCGCCGTGGTCTCCATGAGCGACGTGAAGTTGAAGATCTCCATAACGCCAGTTTGATACTTCCGTGGGATGCATTTGAGGTAAGGCGGGTACCTGTCGGAGTGCGTGAACTCGAACTTGTCTCCTGCCGAACCAGAGAATTTGCGTTGTACTACGCATAGCGTCAGAACCGAAGGATGAGCTCAAGACTCATAACTTACACGAGTTGCGCTCTTCGTAGGGTGGTGGAGGAGACTCTGCTCTTATGACCACCTTTCCGCCCGCCGTCTTGTACGTTTCTTGGCGGGTATTCTTCCGTTGATTGTACTGAGCCTGCAGGTTCGAAGTCTGTTCCTCCAGGCGCTCGCGAGATTTCTTCGCCTCAGCCAGACCTTTCTTCAGCTCTGATCGCTCGTTCTCCCATCGGACCAACGCTTGCTGCAGCTTGACCCGCTCCTCCTCTAGCTCTCCCCTCATAGCTCTCTCACCCTCTCGTATCGTCTCAATTTCTGCCTTGAGCTCCGCTACCTCTTTCCTGTGTTTGGCGATGATGCGCTCCACTTCTTCTCGAAGCACGGAGCCAGCGGAGGTGTCCTCAAGCATCTTGCCCTCGATACGAATTTCGGTTTGGATCTGGGCGATCGCGGGTACCAACATGAAAATATGGGTAAGGACACGACAGGCGCTTTCGATGGAGCGGTCGTGTCTCATGAAGCAGGCGCCTCCATCGACAAGATCTTTGAAGAACCTCGCCTTGAGCTGTCCCTCTCGCTTGATACCCTCCTCCTCTGATGGGAGTTGGTCCCAGAACGTGGTCAGGACCACGACGTTCTTGTAGGCTTTCGTGCCACAAAGATCTCGGAACATCCTAAGATTGCGAGCGGATTGGCCGCCGAACCTGGGGTCGGAAATCCGCTGGAGGTATACAAGGCCATTCAGCTTTCGGTTCTCGTCGTATCTACAGAAAAGCGTGGTCAGCTCACGGAATAAAGATAGGAATGAGACAAACTCACTCTGAGCAAAAAATCGGTTATGGTCCTAAGGATATCCGTGTCGGTGACACCTGCTCGAGAATCGTCGAAGCCAGGCGTATCGACAATAGTCGCGTTGCGGCCACTGGAGGCATCACAAAAGCGAATGATCTGTACATTGCTAGTCTCTGACTCGAGACTAGTGCCGATCCTGACGCTATTATTGCCTGTGAGAAGTTTAATGAACTACGAACGTATCCTGCGTCAGTCTCTGCGGCCCTCGTTTGGTCGTTGATCTTACCGATGATTTCCCCGTTCCAGTAGTGCCCATTACACTGATAAATAGTGAATTATTGAACAACGCTGCTGCAAAGGTGAAAGGTGGACGCGCTCACGCTATGACGATTTCACTTTGGAGTCCGTGAATCATAACAGAATCCAAGTTGGGGCCATTCGTGGGGGGAGCCATTGCGGTAAGGAGTGGGTAGTTGTGATTGTCGGTTCAACGGGTGAAAACTTTATGTTTTCTCAAGTGAGGTCCTTTACCTTGCTGGTTGGAATCACAATTTGCCTGGAATACGAACGCGGACGCCCAAGATCTCGGAACCTTTGCAGCGCTGAAGCCACACTCCAAACCGCATTGTTTCGCCGTGTTTTCTTCCCCACTCGTGTCGAACGTTGACGCGGCTGATCTGGAAGGGCGATACATATCCGGAGCAAGTATGCTGCCAAATGTGACGATATATCGATGGATGAAGAGATATGCCATGCTATGTTATTCCGATCCTTAACATGCCTGGAATCGGAGGCTAAAACAGCAAGAATCCTGTCAATGCTCAAGGCAGAACCCTGCAAAACAATAAGCACGGTGGTGGTTTGTGGCCGTTGGAGCAAGATACTACTTTCATCTCGCCGAAGTGGACAGTGAAATGAGCGCTGGGGACCTTGTATATTCCTGGCCAAAGGTCGACATATTGCGTGAAGGGCTGACAGCTGAATGGAAGAGAAGTGAGCTATGTAGAGAATCTGAGGTTGAACGAAAGATCAGAAAAGCGGCGCAAAATCAGGATTATATTTCAGATATTTACCTGCCCTGGGCGGGGTATGAAAATGTCTGCCCATAGCGCTCAACGCGTCGTCTCCGGGCAAGGGTGTCGCACGAAACTAAGTCGGGAGAGAAGGGACTTGAGGGTCGAAAAGCGAGTCAATGTGAGAAAATAAATACACTGAAACCACAAACTACTAATACATCTCTAATGGCCAGCCATCGCTCTCTTTGCAGCCAACAACGGTACAAGAAGCCAGAGAGCAGCTATGGCGCCAATTACGCCCGCCTTTCCTAGACGCTCCCCACCTGCTTTGCTCAAGTCGCCCCCGATGTCGGCCAGTTCGTGCAAAAACTCGCGGACCGGAGATCCGCTTCCGGCCCGCCGCCAATTCCTACGACTGGTGTGTGGCCTCTCTTCGCTGTGTTCCCCATCGACCAACGCAAAACTCTCCGCACTGTTCGTCCTCGCCGTGTCTTCAAGTTCCGTGTTCTGCGAGAAATTTGCGAGCTCCACACCCATGCTACTCTCCGCCGCCGCCGCAGGTCGCGTCTCCCGAGTTGTTCGCTTCGTCTCCAATATTTTCCGGTCCTCCGCAGCACGCGCCATCATCTCCTCTAGCTTGCGACGTTCTTCAGCTAGTTCGAGCCGTAGATCCTCGTCGTTCGCCCTCGCCGCATCCTCTATCTCTTTCCTCAAGCTTTCCATCTCTTCTTCGTGCTTCTTCTGCAACTCTTTCATCTCTTCAATGATCACCGCACCGGCAGATGTCTCTCCCAGGGACCTCCCAGCATTCAGCTCCTCCTGTATCTTCAGCGTTATAGGCTCTTGGTCCATGAGTTCGGAGATAATCAACCGGGCTGACTCGAGGCCCTTGTCGTGACGAAAAAGCCTCACTCCAGAGTCGACAAAGGGTTTGAAAGCACCTTGAGCCAAGGCCGCTTGACGTGCGCTTCCCTCCTTCTCGTCGACAAGATTCCAGTTGGTGGTGATGATTAAGACATTTACAAGGCTATTATCACCGCAAAGTTCCTTGAACATTCTGAGGTTCTTTTTGGCCATACCCCCCATTCGAGGGTCGGAGATGCGGTGCAAGTAGATGATGCCATTGAGCTTCCGACCTCCTCTGTACCTCTTGATGTCAATATCGAGAAGAATAAAAACGAACAGCACCCACTGCGCCTGCAAGAAATCGGCTATTTTTCGAAGGATATCGGTATCAGTAACGCCATCGCGAGAGTCATCGAAGCCAGGTGTGTCGACAAACGTCACAGCAAGGCCGGTCTCTCTGTCGACATATCGAGAAGTGCTGACGTCGAACGTTTGCGATTCTAGGTCGTGGCCGATGCGAATGTTTTCGTCGTTGGTCAGAAGATTGATGAACTGCAGGCGAGCATGGTAAGTATGTTGGCTGCCCATGATGTCAAATTATCTTACCGTGGATTTTCCTAGAGATTTCAAGACGCATATAGGTTGAGGATCTTACATAAAGAGTCAAACGAGTCAAACTCGCCTGTACCTGTCGGCCCCATAAGCCTGCGCGCAAATTTCGATGGTTTATTATCCTTCAAATGCATATATTGAATCATACCACGTACGCAATCATCACTTCACCGGTGGGAGGTACGTTCTTCATCATCATTGTGGGCAAATTCACTGAAGGTCGGTGTAGAGGTACAGCAGCAGTATAGCAAATGGATGTTCAGGCGAAGGAGCATGCGAAGCACGAACGCCAACGCTAATATAGATAAGATTTACGCCATGCCCATCAGGTTCACCCTCCAGCCTTCTCTACGGACCTCAGCGCCCAAACAAGCCGTTCCCGAAACACCACGCAAAATACGTTTAGCACGGACAGCCAACCGCTATCTCTTGCATCCGGCCGTCATATTTGCAGTGAATTGCACAGGCTGGCTTCCAATGAGGCTGCAAGATCGATACCGTGTCGTAAAAACGAGGTTTTCTGCGACATTGACAGTGGGAGCAGTTGGATGTGGTTGACAGTTTGAATGCACAAGGCCACCGCGTGTTCGCCGGCAGTGTTGAGATGATTCGTGAGTTTCCATAAATTCGATCCCCTTTGACGGGAAGCATTGGCACAACTCAGATACAGCCTGAATATAGCACGATTTCCTATGTTTTAAGTTTGACGCCGATGGGGTCGCCAGAATCCTGACTCCGGTGATGAAGTACTCTTCAGGAAACTTGTGAGCCTGCATATGTTCGATCGATATCAGGAGGAATCTGCACTGCCGTGTCCTCACGTCTTCGTCGTGTTTTTCCCTATTCCCAGTGGGAACGAACATATCGGCGCTTTTGTGAATGTGACTGCCGTATATTATACCTGAGAGGATATAAAAGTTAGCTCCTTAGACGGAAAACCTCAACGAATCGATCTACTGAAATGGTGCCTATGCGAAATTCTTCCAGCTACGAGGACGCCGATTTGGCCTCCAATCGAGGTCAAGAAGACATCGTCGTAGCGTAAGCGCTTCCACCTTTCACCTTCGCAGAGGCGTTGCTCAACTGTTGTCTACCTAACAGCGTCATGGGCAGCACTGGAACAGGAAAATCATCCGTAAGGACGTTATTTCACGAAACGTTCGCCAGGACTAACTTGGAGGCTCGTTTGCAGTTTATCAGGCTCCTCACAGGGAATACAGACGTGAAGGTGGGCGACAGCCTCGAGTCCGAGACGAGCGACATCCAGGTCATCCGCTTTTGCGATGGTCCCAGTGGGTAGGGAATACAGACGTGAAGGTGGGCGACAGCCTCGAGTCCGAGACGAGCGACATCCAGGTCATCCGCTTTTGCGATGGTCCCAGTGGCCGTAACGTAACAATTGTCGATACGCCTGGTTTCGATGATTCGCGTGCTGGTGTTAGCGATACGGACATACTAAGAACGATCACCGAGTTCTTGCTTAAAGAGTGGGTTCATCCAGTCTCATCTTGTTTCGTAGATTGATCGTAAGCATCTCAGATACGACGAGAACCGAAAGTTGAATGGTCTCGTCTACCTTCAACGCATCTCCGACCCCCGGTTCGGTGGCCAATCCACCCGTAATTTGAGGATGTTCCGAAACCTCTGCGGTACGGAAGCCTACAAGAACGTTGTCGTCTTGACCACATTCTGGGACCAACTCCCCTCAGAAGAGGAAGGCGTCAAACGAGAGGGACAGCTAAAGACGAGGTTCTTCAAGGATCTTGTAGATGGAGGCGCCTGCTTCATGCGACACGATCGTACCATCGAAAGCGCCCGCAAGGTGCTGGGACATATCTTCCCTCTACCCCCCGCCGTCGCCCAGATCCAAACAGAAATCCGGGAAGAAGGGAAGACTCTCGAGGACACTTCCGCTGGGTCTGTGCATAGAGAGGAGGTGGAGCGCATCATCGCCAACCACAAGAAAGAGGTCGGAGATCTCAAAGCAGAGATGGACGCACTCAAGGAAGGCAACACAGCGGCGAGGCGCGAACTGGAGCAAGAGCGAGCTAAGTTGCAGGCAGATCTGGCACGGTGGGAGAAGGAGCGCTCAGAGCTCCAGCAAGGTCTCGACGAGGAGAAGAAATCTCGCGAGAAGTTGGAGGCGGAGGCTGCGAAGATCCAAGCTCAGATCAACAGCAAATGAAGGGGCGCGAGAATGCGGACGAGAGGCGCAGACGGGAAGAGGCTGTCAGAGAGGCTGTCGAACGCGCGTTGCGCGAAGAACGTATGAAACCCTACAGCAAGAAGGCGGTAGAGTTGGCGGAAGAAATCCCGCTTGTGCCCAACTTCATCGCGAAACCTTGCCTTATTGCCTTGGGCGCTGGTCTCGATGTTTCGAAGCGGGTGTTCGGTTGATAGGTACGAGTAACTGTCGGCCTTCGACGGACGCTCGCTGCGCGGTGTCCACCCACGGGCTCACCATCCCAGACATTCGAATTTCGCAAGAATGATTACCATAAATGTTACATAGTCTGATATCTACGTGCATACTCTTCTAATCTAATTTGATCCATGAAAGGGTGACAAAAGCTAAGCCTGTCAGTTGTGCCATTAAATAATATTATGGCAATAGAACAACGCACGTGGCTTTCAGACCACGACGCGGCTACTGCGGGCCGTAATGTGGCACCCTGAAGACCAGTTTTTCACTTATATCAGATACGATCGACTATCATTTGTATCTATTAGGTCTGTCTAGGGAGACTAAGTTTTTCAGGTCTTTCGCAATTGCAAAGTATATTGAAATTAGCATGAATATAAGACACTAATGTGAGTAGCTGTATGAAGAATGTGATACGGTCAATATCGAAGAGGAGAGGTGTCATTCTCACTTTACAGTTGGAAAAGTGGCACCCCTCTAAAACCTTCAAATCTCCACTTAAAATCGCGGTTTTTTCGTGACCATCACACTTACTCATGAGTAAATACTACATGTATGCAGTATGATAGGAAACGAGCGTGATTTGAGCGAGATTTTGAGCATTCTATGTTGCTCAGGGGCAATAATGCTGATCAACATGTTTTTTCATCCTTTTAGTTCGCTCGCAATTACCCTTGACTCTCCAAGTTCTACTGGGTATCAATTACTTACCTCTTTTCTTCTTCTTTCCATTGGACCTGATTGAAACATTGCTGGATGACCTCAAGGCCTCATTGCGATCTGTGGATCTAGCAACGCCCTGGAACGCATGACAACAGTACCTGTATTGAATCATAGTGTCATAAATCATATCACCTGAGCGCTCCTAGAAAGTGGACTAGTGTCCAAAAGGTCCAAAGCATGTAGCATAGGTAGGAGAATAGAGCAACTGTCTACGTAGCAGTCGAAGTCCTTCGTTGGAACCAGTCCATTCGCTCACTTTCGATCGACGACATCATCCTCGGCGTCGCTTGCCATCGTTCTTCTGGAGAAAGCTGCTGCGGACCTGCCGACGATGCTGGATGGTCTCCTCACCGGACTTGCGCTGCCCGAGAATCGGTTCGACTTTGGACTCACAGGCGTGCTAGATGTTGGGCTCGTTGCGGACACGCTGTTCCTATTGATGTTTTGAACGAGCGAACTGACGTTACCGCTTGACGTTCCACGAGGCCCACGCACTATCCTTGGGCCCCGGGTGATGCTCGACTGGGCTGAGCCCGTGCGGGTTATTGACGACCGGCCAGTACCGAGGACAACGTCTGGATCCACAGATGGGGGTGATGGGCTACGCGAAGCGATCCTACTGGGTGTCGAAGCTCCACGTCCACTACCATTGCCTTTCTTTTGAGGAGTGGGCGGAATCACAGTCGTTGTGGGAGGCGGTGGAGGCGTGACCAGAGCCACTGTTGCCGGAGGCGGGGATGGAATCTCGGGCTCCTCAGCGGGAAGGTCTGCGAAGTTTGGTCTGGGAGACAGGTCATCGACCTCCAGTGGAGGTTCCTTGAACGAAGGTCTTGGTGGAAGGTCGTCAAACTCCGGAGCAGGCTCTTTGAACTGAGGTCGAGGAGGTGCACCGTTCTGAGGCGAGACAACAGGTGGCGGCGGAGGGGGTGGCACAACTGTTGCCGCCGATGGCGGCGGTGGAGTTGCCGACTTCTCGAGAATAGGCGGAGGAGGCGGCACCAAGGCAGGTGGGGCAGCTGGCGCAGCCTGGGCAGGAGGAGCGACGGCCGCTGGAGGCGGGGGAGGTGGTATTTCAGGTGAAGACGTCGACTTCGTCGATCTGTGACCTAGAGACGGATTTTGGGCACGTTGCTGGGCGACAAGCAATTGCGCTGCATCAGCTCCGACAGAAATCCTGCTTCTGCTCAAACGCATATCGATGGGAGCAGTACGTTTCCGGATGGGTACTTTGCGTTCCGATTCACGCTTCTTCCTGGCAATCGTTGGTGGCAGTAGCGCATCGTAGTGCTTGAGCAGGTCGATGAAGAGAGCTAGTGAAGTGAGGTTAGCAAAGGCCCATGATGATGAGGTGACACATACACGTAGGATGACGGTCTTGGATTGAGATTTCTGACTCAACCTTGGGCCTGAGGACAGCTGGCAGATGATTCAGCAAACACCATAGAAAAGAGATTAGTATATCGGCTCACTTCTGCCCATGGAAAGAGCGAGCTTGGTGAAGTAGACTTCATCAGACTCGTCAACTTGGGTAGATTCGACAAGGCTGGAATATCGTTAGCGAGAGGAGAGACTTTATATCAAGGCAACCCACTTTTTCAAGTGCTTCAGAATGGTATCAAGAACGTAAAGATGAACCCGAGGCAGCCTCTGCAAAGCTGCACCAACAGCCTGCAAGTGCTCCGCCTCCAAATCATCTCCTGTCTTCGGAACAGCACCCACAGTAGGGTACAGTCTCCTGAAGTCATCCCATCCCTCATAAAGTGCGAGAGGAGGGTTGAGCTCGAGTATCCAAAGTTTGACACAGCTAGCAATGATTGGCGCGTCGAACTTGGCGAACAGCTCTGGGCTGAAAGGTTGGTCCGGCTGTACAGCGTTGAGGGTCTCGCGCAGATGATGCACAGCCGGAAGTGGCACATCGTAGATCCACGCCTTGCGCTTCTCGAGGTCGTTGGGAGCCCTCTCATATGCGGTATCGAGCCCGGAAAGCAGGGCAGTGAGCACGGGAGGGACGAGGTCCTTCTTCTCCTCGCCCTGGGTCATGGCATACCATCCGCCTTCGGCCCACTTGCGAAGGTCGATGCCGAAGACGACGTCGATCTCGTCGTGGGCTACCGACTCGTAGACCTGAGGATCGGGCCGGAAGGGACCGGTGCGGTACCTCTCAATAAGAGCGGTCAGGTCAGACTCGGGTTGATATGAAGCGACAAGGGTTGCTGAACGCTCGATTGAAGGCTCAAGAGACTTAGGCAGATTCGCAAGGGTTCCTTGGTACTGTAATAGAACTATCAAAGGCTGTAAGTGGGTGGTAAGAGTGTTGTCAACGGTTGTACGCACCAGTCTTGACCGCCCGCAAGCGCTCGCTCTCCCAGTGCTGCAAAACCTTCAAGGTGTCCTCAATGCGCTCCTCGAGACCGAGCCTATGCCTATCGAGGCGCCGAACAGCAACACGGTATGTTCGGTCCGCTTCGTCGGCTTCTTGTCGGGCACGAATGTGAGCGGGCTCAGAGCTGTTTCCCGAGTTGTTCAATGCTTTGCTGACGAGGCTGACAAAGTTGCCGGTTTTCTTCAACAAGTTCTCTTGGCCTTTAGGTGCCTCTGTGCCCAACTCAAACGCCTGTCCATAGAATAAGGGGGATGAAACATGAAAAAAGTTGAACACAAAGATACCTTGGGTCTAAATTGGTAAAATGCCTCATCTGAATCTTCAAACAGGTTACCAAGCTCGCCCAAGCGACGCAGCAAGTTTTCCTTCTCGGTCAAATCTCGAGCAGCGTCTTCTGCAAGGTCCAAGCTGCCCTCGAAGGCGGGAACGTTGTCCTTTAGCCAAGTAGCGAACTCGTCGCCGGTGAAGGCATCCTGGTATTCGCCAAGGAGTGGGAAGCGGACAGGGCGAAGAGGAAGCTCAGCAGCAGCACGTGAAAGAAGCTGAGAAACCGAGGCAGCAGGAATGGCCAAACCTGCAAGTATGATGGTTTGAGGGGCAGTGGGGGAAGTAGGCAGCTCCTTAGGAGGCGGGATGGGAGACATAGGGGGAGGAGAGGCCATCTCTGCTGGTTCCTCCGTGATGACCTCCTTGCCTTTGCCCTTGTCAACTTTGGGAAGCGGCTTCTCGTCCAAGGAGACGGGAGACGGAGAAGCATTGGGGTCTTCGGTAGAGGTAGCCTGCGCGAGGGCGTCGACACTCTTCTTCTGTATCTCCTTCAACCGCTGAGCAATTCGCTCGGACACGCTAGCCGTCCGCGCTGGTGGCGAACGATGGCTGTCCACTGGTCGGATGCGAGGAGAACTGGTGTACTTGTCGACGGGGCCGAGGCTGTTTGGAGCAAATTTGGCGCTGGAAAGGTGACGCGTTCATTAGGACCTGCGCTTGGGCATGTGTAATACAGATGCGTACTCGTCTTCAGCTTCATCTGCCTTGCGAACCTTCGACAAATACTGATTTTTCAACTTCGCCACTTCTGCTTGCCCTTGTTCGTACGAACGAAGCCAGTTGTCGACGACGGTAGCCTTGTTTTGCTTCAGGCGCTCCTGATGATGCACACGGGCTCAGAATGCCGTCAGCGACAGAGGCCTAGTGGAGGACCAACCTTATATGATTGGGCCCATTCATTGAACGGGTCGGCAACGAGAGTGTTGAGTTCTTTTGCTATTGTATTGTGGGCTTGACCTTGAGCTGTCGACTCTGCCTGCAGACCTCGGAATGCCATTAGGAGTGAAGCGCCATCGTCAGCACTGAAGCCAGTTCCTATCTGGTGGTTAGCAGAGGCCAGAAATGGTGCTTAGGAGATACAGACCTGCTCTCCCAGTCAATCCTGGGTTTATGAGACTTGAGGCAAGGTAGCTCTCCGCGACCGCACGGGCCTGCAGTGTATACCCATTGAGTGCTCACGGCGACTAAGGACCTTCGGTGGCGACGTACCCGAATGAACGTGACTATCTCGTCATTTTCTGCGACACCCTAACGGTACAATGAGCAAGGATGCGGTGGCCGAATACCGAAGTAGCACGGACCTGCTCCAACTTCCCATATAGGACTTGTAGGCCTCTGCGGTAGTCCTGAGACCAGAAGGAATTTGTGAACGCCAACGGCAGCGACAGAACCGCCATATTGGTGGGAGGTCGTGTCTGGGGTGTCTGGGGTGTCGTGAAGTCGTGTTCTGGGGTGTTTTATGGGTGCAAGATGGCGGTCGGTTGGCAAAGTCGTGGAGGTTGCGACTCCGCTGCCGCAACACACCAAACGAAGCACGTGCCGCCTCCGTCTGTGTTGGCCCGGAAGCGCATTTCACTTTCTGCATGGTCAACAAACGTCTGGGCGTCTTACTTAGGTAGTACACTTTCATTCAACCAAAGATAAGGACACACTAGGAACGCGATCTAAAAACGAGAGCCAAGGGAGAGCTGGGTATTTCCGGGAGTTGCCGAAGACGCGACCCAAATTTTGAGAAATAATATTGTTCGCTAAGTCCGTCTCGTCGTTCCCGTTCTCTTGGTCTCTGCCGCCTCTGCTGTCCCAATGAACCATGTACAACGGCGACTGGTCTCGACAGCAGCCAGGCTCACCTCCGTCTCCCCCGCCAGTGTCGCCAACTTCCCCCCAAAAGAGTCCTACAAGCCCGCCAAGGACGCCTTCGTGAAGGACGAATTCAACCCCGAGAACTGGGCAGCCCTCCAACCCGCGCCTTCTACAGCCCTCCATGCATTTGCGTACCGGATAGGTCTTCAGTCGGTACTCATGGACTCAGACCTCATCCGCCAGGCATGCACGCACGAGTCCTACCTCACCCTCTTCCGCCAGCACTACCCTACAAAACCCGAGCCCGAGACCAATGCCCAACTTGCGTCGGTGGGGAACTCGTTAATGGGTCTCTTTGCGTCCGAGTATATCCACACCAAGTATCCGTACCTCCCAACACGCGTCATGAAAGCAGCTGTGACTGCTCACGTCGGTCCTCCGACCTGCGAAAGCGTCGCACGCGAGATGGGTGCCGCGCCGCTACTACGTTGGCATCGAACAGTACGTCTCAAAAATTTGTTCCGGCCTTCGCTTTCTCACTCTTTCTGTAAGCCTACATCCGAAGACGGTCGCAATATTTTACACGCGGACGCTATGGCTTCGATACCACGGTCACTAACAGCGCTTATTTACCAAGAACGATCTATGGACGTGGCAAGAAAGTTTGTTCACTCGTATTTCTTGAGTCGGAAAGTCGATCTACGAGCAATGCTCAAATTCACAAACCCGAAGAAGGCGTTAATGGAGTTGGTCCAAAAATATAACCGTGAATCCCCAAAATCTCGGTGCGTCTTGTGTGAATGCTTCTCGGCACGGTTCACTTAGTCTGCCTTAGACTGCTGAAAGAAACTGGACGATTTTCGAATTCTCCTGTGTTCGTAGTTGGTATCTATTCTGGTGCAGACAAACTAGGCGAAGGATTTGGTGCCTCGCTGAAGATGGCTGAGTTCAGGGTATGTGTCGCACTTGCCTCTTTTTTCCTTCGTGTTTGTTCTTAATGACTTTCATTAGGCTGCAGAAGATGCGCTTCACCGGGTGTTCTTGACGCGAACACCGGAAGATATGATCCAACTGCCTTCATCGACGTTCTCAACTTGGTTGAAGATCTTCGACCAACAGGGAGACAGCACCGACTACACTCCACCCAAGCTCGCTCCATCTGAGATTATTTATGCTAGCTCAGGGAGGGGCGGTATTCCGGAGACGAGACGGTAGTAGGAAGGTTGGCGACGTGGCATGGTCGTACAGTTATCTATCCTTAATGCACTAATTCATGAAACAAACCCCTACTACCAACACTCCGGTCGTATCGTGCTGTGAAAGAGCTTGATAGCCGCCAAAGAATCGAGACAAGGATGAGATGCTGGATTGGATGGTATACAGGATTGGGTATCTCTAAAGCAATTATTGGCTATCCTCTGACTTTGCCCTTCAGCTGGTCACGAACTGTGCTCCTTTCTCCAAGAAGAGCCATTATTTGCCATCTTTGATCTCGTACTTCTCGGTCTTTGAGGACGGACACATCGTTACTATCATCATCCTATCAGAAGTCAGTCAACCGCAGACGAGTAAGTAGACATGTCAAGACTTGCAATTAATGACGGAGATACGGCGAACCGCATCGCAGCAGCAGACCTGTTGGGAAGATCTGCGGGGGAAATGGTGAACAGAGTTTGGAGAGAGGCTGCTGTGAGGACGGGTGGTCGGTGAGGGAAGTGGTGATGGGCTGCGCCGGGAGGTTGGGGCATGCTGCTCGAGGGTGTGATTGAGCTAATGGCATGTGATGTTGAGGTCAAAGTCAGGGCGTGGGTGATGAGTTGCTTGAGCTTTGCCTAGAAGGACGAGGGTGAGAGTCCGTTGAAGGGAGGAAGATGGAAGGCGAACCTCGCATGCAAGCATCATGAGGGCTGGAACGGCGCGTGAAGGCGCACTGAGGTTATTCTGTGCGCATATGAGGTTCATCCTGTCTGCAACATGTTGGAGAGTGGGTGCACGCGTGCTCGCATGGAGGTGTATTGGTAGTCTAGTGCCCGGAGTGCCTATACGCAAAGAAACACTTCTAGTCAACGCATGATCAAAAAAATAGAGGAGGGTGGGCACGTACTACCTCTTTCAGGTAACAGCTCGACACCGCGTTCGCTTGCTATCTCATCCAATGCCTTCCGCGGTGGGGGCGGTGGATCGGTGGGTGGGGGCACGGTGGGCATGACTTTTAGCCGTTCGCGTTCGCGCCTGCCCATGGAGAGCGTCCATTTCTTGAGACGCATTGAGCGAACTGTACGTTCTTCATCAGGGACGCTGGGTCCTTGATATGGAAGGAGAGTCCGTCTCCGCTTTGTCGGTGGAGGTTTCGGGAAGGACGAGAGAGGCGGTGTCGGAGGGCGTTTGAGTGTGGCAGTCGCATCGAATAGCGATATTATCAACGCATTGTGTAGTTGTACTGTACCGAGATTCAGGTTCAGTGAATGTATGCGACAGAAAGCAAGGGCAGTTACGTACTGAGAGTGGCGGAGGTGAGCACTTGCTTTGCGGAATCCTCGAACTCTGTTCGCGATATCCTACCGGACACAAAGCTAGCGAGAGTGTCAAAGTACGTTTGCGCCTGTGGCCCGAGGTTCCTGATGAGCTGGCTCTTGAGCGTCGAGGTCGACGAGAGCGACATAATGGATGAGAACAACTACGAAATGCCAAGACCATTCGTTAAGTGGACGCACGTGATGCGGTGCGAGATCATGTCTCCGAGTCCCAATTGACTCCTTCCTTCCTTCCTCCACCCACCATCTGCTCTCACACTTGAGAGTTCATGTCATCTGCTTCTACATCCAGACCGGTCACTTCGAAGTCCAGAGGAGTATGCAAGTACTATAACGCACCCCGCGGGTGCTTCGCCGGCGACAAGTGCAAGTTCCTTCACAGTGAGCCTCCGGCGAGCCCCAAGTCAGACGATCCGCCGCTCCTCACGCCCCACGACAAATCGAAGCGATGTCGCTACTATGCGGAAGGTGCGTCTTCCTCGTTTCTTTGTTTCGTTCACGCCGTGTGTGTTGCTTAACCGCCGCTTACAGGATTCTGTAAGCGTGGAGATGCCTGTTGGTTCCTCCACACATCGGACTCGAAGGACAAGCGTCCTGCCACGAATTCGGCATTGGATGAAGAGGAGGAGGAGTTCTGTTCTATTTGCTTTGAGAAACCTACGACGTACGGGCTGTTAGGTGTGTACTTATTTTCCTCTCGATGACGCTGTTTCTCATGCTCCATCCTAGGTGGATGCAGCCACATCTTTTGCATAGCTGTACGTTCAAGTGTGGATAACATAGATTTCTGACTGAAGGGATGTACAGTGCATCAAACAATGGCGCGATCCGCAGAACAAACCTGGAGGAGTGCTGGACTCGGGGAACACAAAGAAGTGCCCAATGTGCCGCTCGGCTTCCAAGTTTATCACCCCGTCGTCGAAGTTTTGGAAGGGTGGCACCCCAGAGAAGGAGAAGGTCGTTCAGAATTACAAGGACAGCATGGCGAGGGTGCCGTGCCGGTGCGTTTCATTGATATCTGCCCTCTTTGTCCGCGGCTGACACCTCTTCCCTCACTCTCAGTTATTTCCAGAAATCGTTACAGAAGAACAAACGAAAACCCATCTGCCCGTACGGAAAGGACTGCTTCTATCAGCATATCACGGAGGATGGCACACCATTTGTGTTTCAGGATGGAGTGGATGAATCCATGCGGGTACGTTCGTTTGACCCCCCAAATATTCGTTTCGTTCAATATTCGTTCCAGAGGTATCGGTCCTCGCGAGGCAGTCGCGTTTACATCGACAACCTACACTTTATGCCTTTCTTGAACATAGCGAGTCTCGACCTTGCAGGAATAACCCTCGATGGACAAGACGTGAACAGGCGCCGTGGCACGAATCCGGTCAGGAATACAACAAGAAGGCTTCAAGAAGTGCAAAGGTCACTTGAGATATTGAATGATGTCATCATCGAAGGGACTGCGACAGGTAATCTGAACCGAGCTGTTCAAGCTCTACAAGCGGGCTTCGGAAGAACGGATGCAGGCGGTAACCAATCAACGACCAACAGACGACAAGGGGATAGAGAAGAGGCCGCTGAGAGGCAGGAGGATGAAGTCATGGAACAACTGGGAGTGCTGGTGAGTTTTCCTTTCTCTGACATTTTGACCTTCATCTTAATCAGATGATAGGCGGACCAAATGTTGGCATCGCTGGGTGCTCTGCGGGACGTACAGGATGGGCGCTCCGACACGCCCCCGCCACCCTTGGAACCCATCCACAACAATGAAGATGCGTCGCGTCGACGTCGGCCGGTTGCGAGAGACTCGGATGATGAATCGGTGGGCTCTATGCCGGATCTTCAGAGCGTATCAAACACCAGCGAGTCAGAGTATGAGGAGTTTGACGACGACGAAGACGACGACTCGAGCGACGAAGAATCTGACTACTTGAACGACGCCCTCGCCGGCGGTGATATGGATGGAGATAGGATTTCTGCGGCTGCTATGGTCGACATCTTCCGCTCGATGTTGGCGGCTGACCAACAAAATAACCCAACCGCCACCACATCAACGCTGCCACCACCGCCCGAATCACGACCGACCCCTCGATTCAGTACCACTGTCGACCGGTCCATGCAAGATGCTGACGAGGACGGCGATGGACTGCCGGAACTGGAAGAGGTTGATTCCAGTCCCCCAGGGTCTCCTGACCCCCCTTTCGCAACTGATCGGCAAGGAGGAGCGGAAAGGAGTGGACCAGGACAAGAGAACAAGGAGCCCAGTAGGCCGACTGAGGGGTTCACGACGGACGGGCGAGGAAGGGTCATCAGCGTTGGGTCTAGCGAGTCAGCGACGCCGGGGGGGTCGGAGAGCAGAGCGGAGGGTTCTGGATCTGGCCCGGGCGGTGGAGAGGGTGGCGGCGGGGCGGGGCAGTCGCTGCTTGGCTGGATAAACTCGCTGTTCTGAGTAGTTTAGGAAGGTTTCTTGCCAGATGCAGCGATGACATCATAGTCATAGATCGGGGCCCTGTACATTGATACCGTTCCCTATATATATTCTCCTTGCCCCTACTTCTCTCTCTTCCTTTCTGCCCCCACCATCTATCCACCATGCCAAAATCCCGCAAGCACAAGTCGAAGCCTTCAATTCAGATTCCGAACGCAGGGTCCAAGCCAGACTCACAGGCCCCTTCAGCTTCCGCCTCGAACCCCGTCACACCAATCACCCCAAAAACACCTGCCGATGAAGGCATAGAGTTCTTCCAGGCCCATGTCCACCCGGGCGAGCACCCCATACGCGTGTACGAGCTGAGGCTTGATCCAGACGGTGGTCCCAGTAAAGAGCTCTCGGTGTGTGTCCCGCGCGTCTGGCTCGCGTTTCTCCTGCTTATCGATGTGCATCGCAGTACATTCGTCTTCCTCCCGCATACACGCCGTACATCTTGCGCGTTTCGCTCCAGGCCGGTACTCCTGCTTCCAAGAATGGCGTGTTCAAAACCAACTTCCCTCTCGATGGTGGTGCGTTTGGGCGAGAGAGCTTCACACAGCGAAAGTGCGTTATCCGATTTGCCCCTCTCTATGCCCATGTAACACCGTGTTTGGACATCTAGGCTACCTCAGGACTTTTCCAAGCCCATTCAAGTTGATTTGCCGATATCGCACGCTGGCGCGTTTGTGTATTGGGTGGAGTATGACGGAAGCCCAGGCGAGAGGATCAAGGGTCGCTCGGGCTACTTCAACATTGATCCCATACTCAAGATAAAGGAGAGGACTCCCATCTTAGACTCCAACCTTCATGTCCTACCTCCCAACAAGGGCGCCATCCTCAAGAATGACTATGTCAACCTGCCACTCGATGGTCTCGCCATTCTCACTGTTGTATCGAAATGGATGGGCCCGCTGAACAACTGGAGTAAACACTTTGCAGAGGCGAAGGAGAGGGGATATACCATGCTCCACTACACTCCGCTACAAGAAAGAGGAGAGAGCGACAGCCCGTATTCCATTCGCAACCAGTTGAAGTATGACGCCAGTCTCTTCAACAAGGATCTTGGCGAACACGCTGGAACGAAGAAGATAGAGGATATTCTGCAGGTTGGGCGTGAAGAATATGGGTTGTTGAGCTTGACAGATGTCGTGCTTAACCACACTGCCAACGATAGTCCTTGGTTGGTGGAACACCCAGAAGCAGGTGCGATATCTGTACCATTTATCCGACTATATGCTGACAACGGCCTGAAGGATTCAGCCCTGCTAATACTCCCCATCTCGCCCCTGCACTCGAGCTGGATTCTGCTATTGTCGAATTTTCGGGCTCTCTTGTCTCAAATGGGCTCCCTACCACTGTTTCTTCGGAAGATGACATCAATGTCCTCATGAATGCCTTTGAGAAAGTGGTTCGAGGCCTCAGTCTTTGGCAATACTACGTGCTGGACACCACTCGCGAGAAAGATTCTGTCAAAGCCGCCCTCGCATCTGGCAAAATCGAGCCTTGGAGTGGGCCGACCGTTAAGGGGAAGGATGTCGGCAGCCTGGCCGACATTCTACGGGAAGAGAAGAAGATCAATGGCCTTGGTAAATTTGCCTCTCGGTCGGGCGTAGGAGTGGATGGTGGCGTAGCTGCGGGATTCGTTCAGGCCGCCTTTTCTGAGCTTCAAGACAAGGAAGCCCTTGCTAACGCTTGGATCAGAGTAGTGGACGTTTTGAACGTTCCATTATATCGAGAATGGGAAGACGATACCAATGTGGCCCTTTCGAATGTCGGGAACAGACTCAAGTACACAAGATTGGACGCCCATGGTCCAAAATTAGGCGAGATATCGAAGACGTGAGTCAAATTCTTACAATCATTTTGATCGAACGAATCCTAATATTCTGGTCTGCAGGAACCCAGTTGTTGAACTGTACTTCACTCGACTATTCCCTACACCCAACGCAGACCCTCTTGTTTATTCTCTTGCGAACAATGGATGGATCTGGAATGCCGACCCACTTCAAAACTTTGCTCTTCTACCATCCAAGGCGTATCTTCGCCGCGAGGTTATTGTCTGGGGCGATTGCGTCAAGCTTCGATATGGCTCACAACCATCTGATAACCCTTGGCTGTGGTCACACATGACGTCGTATGTCTGTGCCCTGGCGCGTACATTCGAAGGATTCCGGATCGACAACTGCCATTCGACGCCCCTGGAGGTCGGAACGCGTATGCTGGATGCAGCGCGTGTTGTTCGTCCTGATTTGTATGTTTGTGCCGAGCTGTTCACTGGTAGCGAAGATATGGACCTCGTCTTCGTTCGCGAGCTGGGCATCAACAGCTTGATTAGAGAAAGCTATAACGGGTGGGATCCGAAGGAGCACTCGAGGCTGTTGTACCGACATGGTGTTGGGAAGCCGATTGGTTCTATGGATGGCGCCTGCATGGTCAGCAAGGAGGATATTCCGAGCCCAACAGGTAAAGGCCCGGTACGGACGGGTATCGTTACACCGTTGAATGGCTCGCTGCCGCATGCTCTTTTGTACGATTTGACCCACGACAACGAATCACCCCTCGACAAACGATCTGCGGAGGATGCTTTGTCCACTGGAGCCCTTGCAGCATTCAGCTATTGCGCCATTGGTAGTGTCAAGGGGTTTGACGATCTGTATCCCAAACTCCTCAACTTGGTTCAAGAAAAGAGGCAATACGAATTGACTGGCACTGGCCCTTCGAGTGGTATTGCGAAAGTCAAGAGGGTCTTGAACGAACTGCATCTAGAGATGGTCCTTGAAGGCTACGAAGAAGGCCATGTTCATCAGGAAAACGATGTATGTCCTCTGTAACTTCTGTTCACTGATTGACTTAACACTCACTTCGCTTACCCAGTACATCGTTCTCCACCGCGTTCAACCAATTACTCAAAAGGGCTACCTCCTTGTTGCGCACACCGCATTCCACAAAGGTTCGAAAAGTCGCGGGCATAGTGAGTCTTATCCGTATATTTTGCGTTGTTCTCTAATGAGCGGTCCCTAGTTGACCCGATCAAGCTTCGCCGGACAAGGGCAAAGTTTATTCTTGGGGCAAGCATCAACATCTCGTCCTGCGACGTTCCTCAGGATCTCAAACTCCTCAAAGGGCTGTCGGCGGAACTGGAAGAGATGCATTCAGTTGTCGTGCCTCAAGGTCTCGATCATGAGGGGCCCTATGCAGAAATCATTGTTCCAGAGAGCTTCCCTCCGGGAAGTGTCATGGTCTTCGAAACACAGTTGCAACAACACGATCCTGAACTTGACGCCTTTTGTGCTTCTGGGGCGCAAGACGCTTTCAGTTCGGTTGATTTGGTTGATTTGAACGTGATCTTGCATCGGGCCGATGTGGAAGAGCGGGACGCGACTGACGGCGTCTTTGGTGCATATGAGGTCCCTGGGCTGGGAAAGATGGTGTATTGCGGTTTGGAAGGTTGGATGCACCCGTTGAGGCATATCATGCGACATAATGATCTCGGCCATCCGTTGTGTGCTCATCTGAGAGAAGGAAGTTGGGCATTGGATTACGTCCATCAGAGATTGACGCAGTAAGTGCGATATGACGTCGTTTCGAGTGCAAAGAAATTAACGAGCTCTCTTCTAGCCAACTGGAGACCTTCCCGAATCTCGCGAAACCTGCAGAATGGCTCAAAGAACGATTTGACCGTGTCAAGGCGTCAGTTCCCAACTATATGCGGCCCAAATATTTCGCACTCGTTATTTCGGAAGCTTACAGGGCAGCCCGTCGTGCCGTTGTCGAGCAATGCTCAGACTTTGTGACGGATGGCCATGCTTTCACTCAAGACCTCGCATTATGCTCAATTCAAATGCATGGTCTCATCAAGTCTGCGTCGCTTGACCCCGGAAAACCAACACCCTCTCTCGCCGCTGGGCTGCCGCATTTCACGACGGGATGGGCTAGATGCTGGGGTCGCGATGTGTTTATCTCTCTGAGCGGCCTTTTCTTGACCACAGGGAACTTCAAAGAAGCGCGCAACCACATACTAGCGTTCGCATCTACGTTGAAGCATGGTCTTATTCCCAACCTTCTGGACTCAGTTCGTAAGCCAAGATACAACTCTCGGGATTCACCATGGTGGATGCTCCAAAACATACAAGACTATGCCAAGAGCGCGCCCGACGGACTTTCGATACTGTCAGACGCGGTCAAACGTCGGTTCCCGAAAGACGACAGCTGGGTTGCCTGGGACGACCCGCAGGCGTATGCGTACTCGAGCACGATAGCAGAAATCATTCAAGAGATTCTGCAGCGACATGCTGATGGCATCCACTTCTGCGAATATAATGCTGGCCCAAATCTCGACATGCAAATGAAGGACGAAGGATTCAACATCGATATTGAAGTCGACTGGGAAACAGGCCTCATCCTTGGAGGAAATAAGCACAACTGCGGGACGTGGATGGACAAGATGGGCGAATCCGTCAAGGCGGGTACGAAAGGTGTGCCAGGCACCCCGCGAGATGGTGCTCCAGTCGAAATAACGGGGCTGTTGAAAAGTACGCTTCGGTGGTTGAGCGAGCTGTCGAGCAAGGGAAAATTCCCTTTCAAGGGTGTACAGGCTCAGAGTAAGTGGTACTAGGTTCAGTGGCGTCGTTTGTCTGATTTTTTTGGCAGCTAAAGGGAGGGAGTGTCTTGTGACCTATCAAGAATGGTCAAATTTGCTTCAGGCGTCGTTCGAGAAATGTTACTATGTGCCCCTTGGTCAGTCGTTTAGACGTTTTGCAGGTGCTCGTATTGACACACGTTGTCCAGATCGACTTGCAGACAAGGACTACAGGATCGATTCTGGCCTTGTTAACCGAAGAGGAATCTATAAGGATGTGTACGGATCCGGAGCAGGACGGGAATGGTCGGACTATCAGTTCCGATGCAACTTCCCGATCGCGATGACGGTCGCTCCAGAGCTGTTCGACGAGAAACACGCCCTTGGTGCCCTTCAATTGGCAGATCAAGTCTTGCGAGGGCCTCTTGGTATGAAGACGCTGGATCCTTCAGACATGCAATACCGGCCCATCTACGACAACTCCAATGACTCTGACGACGCCTCTATAGCGAAAGGCTTGAATTACCACAATGTGAGTTGCAACCCATGGCGTGTTGAGGTTCCAGGGCTGATGCCAACCGTAGGGCCCGGAGTGGGGATGGCCGCTGGGGTACTTCTTGCGTGCGTACCTATACTTCGACACCCGAGTGGGTCTTGGGAAAGATGTAAGTGTTGTCTGAAAATCTGAGATGGGTGAATTGGCATTGACTCTGCTGGGTGCAGGATCCAAAGGAGACGCTGCATTACCTGCATCGCGTGTTGCTTGCGCCACGCAAACACGTAGAGAACGACCCATGGCGTGGACTTCCAGAGCTGACGAACGAAGGAGGAGCATACTGCAGGGACTCTTGTCCGACACAGGCGTGGAGTGCAAGCACGCTGCTGGACTTTTTGGCTGCTGTCCGAGATTAGATTAGATCTTAGTTGTGGCATGTTTGGTGACCCACTGTATGACTGTGAAGGGTCCTTCGTCGAATCAAAAACTTCGAGCTCATCGTCTGTCGCGTTGTGCATGTCCCCATGGCATTCTTCGGTCTGCCAGACCGCGAACTCCCTAGGGACGGGAAAGACGACAGGCTCGAAAATCTTGCCGTCTACACATGGGGCGAAGAGAGTTACGACGGCCTCGGTGATGCCCTCCAGGAAGGCCGCGACGACCTGAACGACGAGACCTTTGGTACCGGACCCGTCGGTAGGCTATCATCCTTTCTTCATCCTTTCTATCGCCTTCTCTCGCCCTGATCTCCCTTCCCAGGAAAGGACTTCGACTTTGCAAATACAGGTCTTCCGGACATCCATCAGGACCAACATCGCCAATTCTCACAACCACCTCTTGAGGCCCGCCAGGAGCATCCGCAAAAAAGAGACATATTTTTTGAGCAGGAGCAGGCTCCAATACCCCAACCCCAGACGAGTATGTCTTCTCGGCGCTTAATTGAGTCTACCCTTGACAGTATCTCCTCATCTTAGCTCGACCGGCTCCAACGTCGCTCGAGTCTCTCTGGCAGGACCATTCCGCCTTCTCCTTTTTGCCCCGTGTCAACGGTTCGACTCGCATCAGCGACCATCCTCGTGCATCGCCTGCCCCTGCACAAGCCCAAGCAGCACGCTTCTCGCCTTTCGCTAATAACAATTCGCCTGTCGTAAGCCATGCTGCCCCTCAGGGAAATCAGTCTCAGATCCGCGCGCGTACGCTGCAGGATATAGAGGCTGAGATGATTGCCAATGCACAGCTGGCAAGGCAACGCGAGCGTGAACGTGAACGTGAGGAGTATCTCCTGCAGCAGGAGGAAGAGCGACTGTTACAGCAGCAACAACAACTCCTCGTTCAGCAGCAGCAACAGCGTATGCGAGAGGAGGAAGTCCGCCAGCGTCTACTGTATCAACATGAACAGCAGCAGCAGGCCCAGGTTCAGCGCTTATTGATGCAGCAAAGAGAACAATTGCAACAGCAGCGCACTCCTCCTCCTCCTCGGATGATGCCTTCTTCACAATCGCCCCGCTTTTTAGAGCATCACCGCCACATGCTGCTTCTTCAGCAGCAGCAGGAACTTCAGCAGCAGCAGCGTCTTCAGGAACTCGAAGAACAGCTTCGGCTTGAAGAAATGGAACGTCGTATGGTTGCCATAAACATGGAGAGGACACGAGCTGATTCTCCATACAACTCTCGCCGTACTGCTGGATATACGCCAGCTGAGCTTCAAGAAGCTTTGCTCATTCAGCAAGCGCAAGAACAGCAACTTCAACAACAGCACTACCGCAGGCAAAGCTCGCGCTCTCCAGCCGTTGGTCATTCTCAGTATCGGGAAGGCTACCTCGCAACGCATCAACTTCAGCAGAGGCTGCTTTCTGAGCTCCCTCAAAGTGAAGTCGCACGTGAAATGCTTGCTGTCAATTCTGCAGAACAGGAAGCTTTGAGGATGGAAGCCATGCGTAAGATAGTCGAAGCTGAGAAGATGGAAGAGAAACGTCGTCGTAAAGCCGCCAAAATCGCCCATATGGTAGATCTCATTCGTCTTCTCGGTTCATGGTGCTTTCCTGATGGTTTCATTCTTAAAGGCACGATACAACGATCTCATGACCCAATCAGACAAGGATTTCATTACTCGGATTCAAGTCTCGCAACTCGTCACCCAGGACCCTTATGCGGACGATTTTTACGCTCAGGTGTACGGTGCTATTCTCCGTTCAAGAATGGGATTACAGGCGCAGGATGAACGTGTCCTCAAGTTTGGCTCTGGAGGAGGGATTGGATTAGGCTTGGCTTCCAAGGGCGGTAATCGTCGGCCTAGCGCCATGCAACGGATGGAGCAGCAAGTTGAACGGATCGTCAGCAATGCCAGAAAAAGGGAAGAGGAAAAAGGGCTTCATGGTGCGAGATGACTTCTGTGAACCTCAGCACAGTGTAATGCTAATTGGTTATTACAGCAATCCATAGCCTCCAAGGCGCTCTGGGCAAGACATCAGGCCGAAGTTATAAGGCTGCACCACGACAGCTCCTCCAGGTCGACGCCAGCGCAGGCGCCTCTCCGACACTGTCACATGCTACTCCTCATGCACATATAAGCAAGAGTTCAGGCCATCACGAAGGCGCCGCGAAGGAGGCTGCTAAGCTGGGCCGCGAGGCATTAGGCACTGCTGCAGATGTAAGCATTCTCTACTTCGACGCACTCATGCGTTTAACGTTTCCCGCTTCCAGACGGATAACCTTGTGCGAAAGGAACCTCTCTCGCACCGTCGGGTATTGGTAATCTTGGAAGAGCTTTACGACATTGTTCTTCGCGTCGAGCAGTTAAGGAGGGATCAGCCTCTCCCTGAAGATGTACAGTCGTGTGAGGAATGGTAAGTTGCTTTGTACAGGTATCTTAGTTTTTGACGCATGTGCTTTCTAGGAAAAGAGATTACGACCAACTTGTTGATACCATGTGGGATGAGCTGCGTGTAATGGTTCCGCTGGAAACAAGGTGTGGATCTTTCGATCCTTTGAAACATTGTAATCTTATTTCTTCGAAAGTGATCCGCATCCTTTTATATCGCTCCTCATGCCAACCAAGGGAAAGAGGATACTGCCTCGTTTGACTCGCAATCTCAACAGCCAGCGAATGCTCACTTTACTTACACTGCTGGTGGCATGTTTCGGTCAACTCGATGTGGTCAAGCAAGCATCTGTTCTTGATTCCATTAAGGAGACACCAGAACGATTGGAAGCTGACCGACAGACTCAGGCGTTCCTCGGCAGTGTCATGCAGAGTATTCTGCCAGTGGTTTCTGTGGCCAACCTTCGCCTTGTAACCGGTCTCCTTGGATTGCTGTTAGATCGAACTAATATTGTCGCTGTGGCCCAAACAAGGGTACGTCGCATTTACAGTTGTTTTGTGGGACGATTCTCATAAGATGACTTGGTTTATAGCCCGGGCTTGCATTGTTGACACTTTTCTTGAGCCGTGTCGAAGTCATCAAGCAGACTATTGCATCTTCCCCAGACATGGCAGAAGCCCCCACCATTGAGGAGAGTCAACAGTGGTATGTCTTTAGCGCTGTGTGTGCTACTTATCTTGCTGACTTGCTGCCACTGGTAGGCGAATGATATTTGACCACCTGTTCCAACTCCTCGCACCGCATTTCGTTTCTCTCTTCCCGTCTTCCCGGATCATCGACTCGGATGCGGCCAACAAACCAGTGCCAATAGACACAGTTGATCAACCAGTCTGGCAGTTCCTTGCTGCCTTGGCTTTGCATGGTGTCATCGAACAGCACCACGTCCTGGTGGCAACCCTGCGCGAAAAAATTCTTGATAATGTTATGAGCGTGAATAAGGGCTGGGTTCACGATGAAGACGAGCGACAGACCAAGTTGGCGAACGTTAATCTGTTTTTACACGCAGTCAACCTAGACAGTTCTCAAATCGCTATGTAATGCTTTCGAGTCTGCGGTACGATACGATATGGTACGATATGATATCTGTGATGTTTTATTATCATCTAAATACTCAAACAGTAAAGGTTCTATTGATACACATGAGAGATTGGACACTGTACAATTGGGGCAGGCTCTCTTCACAACGCGTCAATTCACAACGCGTCAATTCACGACGTCTCAACATTCCTATCGAAAGTAAATGCGAAGGGGTTGCCAAAAAGCCGGTCAGATTCAGGACGGGTAACTCTTCAATGTCGGGAAGGCGGTGGTCGGGGAGATCCAAGAGCTTGGATGCCTCCCCAGTCTGAGGTAGTTCCATCAAAGGCAAGAGGAATAATTCCTGTTTCTCCTGTGAACGCACTTTGACGTGCGAGCCGACTTCGAGATGATTGGTCGACAGTGATAGAAAGGCATCGTAGTTGGGGTAAAGCATCAGGTAGCCGCGGAGATAGATGAGTTCAATGAAGAATTTTTTCCATGACTTCGTCCAGTAGTTCGACCGGACGTTAGGAACAACGTCTTCGTCCATTGTCAGCGCTGTCTCTGTGAAACGGACAGCCAAATAGTCGTGAAATTCGCGCCACTGTTCCGGGAAGTATAGAGCACCCCAACTGCATGGCACCTGGGAAAGATACGGTGTATTTGTTTCTGGGAGACCGACCAGAGAAAATAATGAACGTGGATTGAACGGTTGTCGGCCCTCGATGGGCAACTCGAGGTGCTTCTGTTGGTAGAGGCTGACACCGAACAGTTGCACAAGTCTGTTCTGTGGTTTGCCGTACCTGTGCGCCGAGTCAGACAAATAACGAGCAGTCTGAGAACTGGTCTCAATACATACCTGTATCTCAGGAGGGTCATCTTGATCCACGCATAGAACAGCGGGGAAACTTCGACATCGTCTTCAAGCAGTACACCGTAAGAGTCATTGGTATGGGGATACCACGACTCCACAACTGCAGGAAGAAGCCCTCCATGGATGACCCTATGATGGACAAAAACACGCCCATACGGCCAGGATGTCTGCTCGATGATCCTTAGAGAATTGCTGTCGCAATCTTGCTCCACGTTGATTCGTAAGCTTATCTGGTCTCCAAAATAATGAGCATTCTGCAGCGACCCGAGAAGCCGGAGAAGTGACGCCGGACGATCCTTGGTGATTACAGCGATTTCGACGTTGGGCTTGTGCCAGTCTGTAGACCGTTGATTCAGCGAGCCGGACGATAGATTGGGGCAGGACTTACTTTTGAGTTCATGTACCGATAGGGAAGACACCCAGTCAATGTACCCGAGATCTCGCCGAGGAATACGTATTACTGTTGTGTCATTGAGCACTGGCATCCTTTGAGCGGACAACAGGTAAGCAGTGAAAGGGTCAAAGCCTTCGATCGTCAGTAAGATGTCGATAGTTGTGGCCTGGATCTCCAGCCATTCCAGAAGGACAACAGCGCCAGGTTCAGAGAAAACGACAGGAGCTTCTAAGAGGATGTCATATTCAACGATGCAAGAGTCAGCTATCAGAGATTGCGTAGTCCATTTCGGCCCAGTCAATGGACGATGGTTTTCGTCATCGTATACCAACAATCGTAAAGCAGGACGAGGATTCAGTCGTTGCAGTCTGCAGAGGAAAGGAGAGATTCGTTTGACATCATCGACAACTGAAAGGAAAAAGACAAATTCAATATGACCAGGATAATTGAGGGTGGTGAATGAGGGAGCTGTCTCGGGAATTGAATTGTGACCAAGGTCGAACAGAGGAATTGCTGAACTCTGGCGACCATCAGGGTTGAAACTGAGTTGCGATGTATGCACTTCCATCTTGCCCCTTCTGCTGCCTAGAAGCAAGCCACCCAGGTCTGTTTCGTTCGAAGAGCCGTGCACAATCCAAGATTGGCCGTTCATGTCCAGACCGACCTCACTGTTTGACGAGGTGGGCATCACAAAAGGAGGAAGCAGATATAGCGTTCGTTGAACTTGGCCCCATCCACAGGAAGCAGTCGGGGACGAATCTAACCAGTCATGCTGCCCTTTGGGACCGAACGGAACCGAAGCGTTAGGGGGGTGCAGTAAGGCCGCTTTTGCGGTGTCTGGTATACCCGCCAAGCCGCTTTCGTCCATGACCAACACCCACTCGGTCGAAACGCCCGCAGCGGACTTAAGAGAAGCGGCGTGGACTTGCATGTAGCCTTGCCACGGCTGTAAGGAGACATCCGGATAGGCAGCCGAGTCAAGAGCGGCAAACGCCCGCTGCAGTTCCCGGCGAACGTCTGCAGTAATCGAGTCTGGGCATATTATAAGCAGTTCACGGAGAGATTGTAACGGTTCTAGGAAAGGGTGAAGGAGGTCTGCGGTCCGGTCCAAAGTGTGCGGCAAGATAGGAAGGATGGCGGTCAATGATTGCGGAGGGATGGGTGTCAACGACTGCACGAGTTCAGCAAGGATATTATCTGTAGCTTCCGCGGGCTTGCTGCTGGAATTGCTGTTGGAAGTGACCGGTGACGAGGATTCGAGAACAGTTGCGTGTGGGTCAAGAGAAAGGCCTGGTGTAGGGGAGTAAAAGAATGCAGAGAAAGCGAAGAGACAAGTAGAGAAGAGAAAGGCGATGTTAAAGAAGCTGAGCATGGCGGTCGTCGCATTCCAACCTTCAAAATTCAGAACCAAAGGTGTCCAATATTAGGTCATCACGTGTCTATCCAGTGTATTAATTAGTAAGAATTGTACTATCGTTGTACTGTGAGCGAAGTGCTGCATGCGGGCACAAGGCCGGTTAAGTACCAATAAATGCATGGCTCGTCTAGTCAGATCGTATTGCCGCCTCTGCAGAGGAAAAGAAAAAGGTCAGATATATGCAGAGTCCGATCAACTGAAAACACGAACTAAAGAATTCGTACGACATCCAGCAAAGAGCAGAACTTGGCATGATTGTTAACACCCGCGGTGTGAGTCCTCGTCCAAAGCCTTTGAGGCCATCTCTTGTCCAGATAACACGGAATGCATCGACCATCCCCCGAGCATTGCGGATGTCAGCGTCTGTAGCGGTCCCTCGCGTCTGTAAGATGGTTTTGGCGACGTCTAACGGTGTCGTGACTGCTGCGGCTACAGCGCCAGCGATTCCTCCGGCAACGATGTGTGTAGCGGGAGAATACTCGTTTCTTGGATTAGCGAAACGTTTTATATGTTCGTAGACAGTGACCTGGATGGCGTTGAACGGAATGGTGATGGCGAGAGTGGTGGGGTAGGAGATGTAAAATGCGCCAAATCCTTCAGCACCGTAGACAGTGCGAGCGCATTGCCACGCAGACCGAAATTCAGATTTGTGAAGTTGCATACGCTGTTTGATAACTGGAGGTCGGAGCTTTGTGAGAGAGCCGACAGGACGCGGGAAAGGCGAAGCTCACCGTCGAAGGGGTTCATGAACGCGTCACTTGCAATCGTAGCTGACGCTCCTGCCAGAGCTTCGCATGGGGAATGAGAGTAGCGTAGATGTTCGGCCGATAGAAAGACTCACAGGTTGCCAGCCATTGGTTTCCAGCTTCGTTCCCTCCCGCCAATTCCTTTACCGCCTCTAGTGTTCCAAAGTGGATTGCGTGGGCAGGACCAGCACCAAGAATAACGGAAGAGACACCTCTCCACAATGCTCTCATGCCTTCGGTGGAGGATATTCGGGTAAAGGCATTGCCAACACCGCTGTAGACGGCCACAGGCGAGGTCGCGAAAACCTGCATCCGTGTCTACACAAAAAAAAAAAAGTGAGCCACAAGATTTTGGTGAATAATTACGCAGTTCACTTTGATGCTGTCTACGGGGAACATGACAGCATGCTCTGAAATGCCAGCCTAGATGAAGCTATTCAAAAAAGAGCCAGTGAGGACTTGCGTGGTCTTACAAGGGCACCAGCCAACATGTTCACCTGGTGACACCGTAAGACGCGTCTTTAGAATAAGGAAGAACATACGGCGAGACCTGCATTGGAGGGCAGGGCTTCATAGTCGATCTCGTCGGCCATGTGATGGTTTGTGGAAGAGGGTGTCGGACTTTGGCGTCACAAGCTCATTTCCCAAGCCTTTCGTCCGACCACTCACGCTCAACAATATACTTGCTCACATACGCACATGTATACTTCTATATATCGACAAATTCAAAGACCAAGTTCACTAATCGACACGGTGTGGCCACCAGCAGAGCACTGGTAGTACGATTCCCGCCTAATCCACTCAAATCCAGCACTGCACCTGCCCAGCTGCCTTAACTTCTGCTGAGCGCGCGCGTCCTCCTCCTTTCTTCGTCGCTCTGCCTCCTGTTTGGCGCGAAGTTCCGCCGCAGCCTTCTCTCGTGCTCGCCGGGCAGCCTCTGCCTTCCGTCTTGCCTCTTCCTTTTGCCTCTCTATTTCGGCCCTCCGTGCTGCATCCCTTGCTTCGGCCTGTGCCTTCTCCAACTCTCGCAACCTCTTCTTTTCTGCTTCTTCTGCCTTCTTCTTTGCGGCAAGCTTTTTCTGCAAGGCCGCCAGCGCAGCCTTGGCTTCACTCTCCTGACGGATTGCTTCGCGTTTTGCGGCGTTGAGCTGCTCCCATTCAGCATCAGTGACACCAGGATCTCGTTGAACGTTTTGCTGAACGCCTTGAGCCTGTTGCCCGACGTTGCCGCGTTGTTGGGGCTGCACGTTGTTTGACCCGCCTCGGCCTCGGCCCCGTCCAGCTGTGTTTTTGCGACCACGAGTGGATGGAGATTCAGCTCGGATTTCTCCCTGACGAACAGCTGGCGAGCGAGGTGGAGGGGTTGGAGGTGCGGCCTGTGAGGTCACGTCTACGGAAACGGACGGTGCTGTTGGAGGATTTGGGTTCAGTGTTTGCTCTGGCAATTGCGGTGCTGGTCTTCGCGAGTTTCGAGGGATCATGGTACGTCTTTGCCTATCAGCCACCATTTTTTCCATGACGTTGATGATATCTCTCCCAGAGAGGTTCAGGGAACCGCTCAAGGCAGAATCCTTAAGGAGGGCCAAGTTAATGAGCTCCTTGCAGAATGTCATCATGTCGCGAGCATTACCCCAGTCAGGGAGTTGAGACAGGTCCTCGATAAGCCCCTTCAATTCCACTTCCACGTCCACCGGCGAATCTTCATCTTCACCGTCCTCGATGATCTCGACATTGTTTTTCCTCAACTCTTTCTCGACCACTTGCAAGCAATAATCGGCACTCATATTCTCGAAGACCACTTGATCTGGGAACCGGCTGGAAAGACCCGTATTGACGGCCATAAGACGCTGCATATCCGCCTCATAACCAGCAAGAATGATGACGAGCTTTGATTTGAAGTTGGGATGCGTAAGCAATCCGACGAGCTCATCTATTGCTTCTTGCGCGAAGTGGCCTTCGCTTAGACGATATGCTTCATCCACGAAGAGAACCTTGCCCAATGCCTTCTCAAACAGCTTCCTCGTCTTCGGCCCTGTTTGTCCAACGTATTGCCCCACCAGATCCGAAGCAGAACACTCAACAACCTCGTCTGAAGACAAAAGTCCCATGTCGTAGAAAACCTGTCCAATTTTCCTCGCGACAGTTGTCTTTCCTGTGCCTGATTAAAGAAATTACTGAGACATATTCATCAATATCGTCCACAAGAGCATTCACCTGGAGGGCCTGTAAATATGAAGTTTGTCGGGATACGATCTCTCGCATCCATCCCCCTGGCCTTGCAAGTGTTCGCAATCTCCTGGTAATTCCGCAGCCTTTGTATAATTTCGCTATGGCCAACAATGTCGGAAAAGAGTTTTGTCAGGTTGGCCGACGCATTCTCGCTCCGTTTGTAATCGGGGTCGAAGTCTCCAGGTTCAAAGATAACGTCAACGGGCCGTTCTGCAGGGGTTAGTTTTTGCCTTCTGGCCAGACAGCGCGTCTTTCCTTGGACAATCAAATTTTCCACCTCGCCGGCGTTTCCAAAATTGGGACGATTCCTCATACGACGAAGGAGCTCAATGGCGACATGTTTCGCCTCGTCGGTGGCGCCAAGATCTTGTTTCTTCAATTTGAGTTCCATTATCTGCTGCAATTCGGTATCACTGAAGTCCTCAAATTGGAAGGCATCCTCGATTTTGAAACGCCGAGCAAGTCCTGGGTTAACGTTCTAGATAGTGAAGACCTTAGCACAGGGCCGAAGAACATGACAGGATGGAGACGTACTTGGAACATTTCGGTCATTTG